TACATCAAACACATTCTAGGAAATCAGCTTTGTGAAGACAGAGCAAGGACAAGCATTCAGGAAGTATCTGCAAAATATTTTCATAATAAACCTGAGGAAAATGTCAACTTTTGTCCCAAGACGTAAACAAAAATTAGAAATCTTGAAGGAAACAGGGCTACAACTTGATTCCCAAGACAAACAATAGCCTAACATTTGCTAGGAGTCCCACATTAAGATTCAAATACCTTCATGCAAACTGCACATTGTGAAGAAAGAGATTTAAATGACCATCGAATTGAAACAAGAAACGTTTATAGAGTAACCTTGGCATGAACACAACTATGCTTGCATAAGGCTATAGTCTGGCCTCGAATACACTAGTGCCTCTACACATGTTTTACCTGAGGGCCACTATTTCACTATTGTAGCCTCGACAGTGTTAAAAAAGTAATATGCAAAGTTACAGTGGTGCAAAAAAAGCACTGATAAGAGCATCAAAACATCGTCCACCGTAATACCAAACAAGTCAAACTCCATGAAGCCCTTAACATGTAATAGTTGAACATCAGACAACAGCAGCAAACCACCAGGATGTGGAATAGTTGAAATGCTGGAAGACTCGGTGCTAAACATACTATTCTAAGATGAATCGCCCCATCTCCACAGCTGGTGGCCCAAGAGCCTGGATCTACTCGAGGATAATCAAATCCTCACAATACATAATTCAAAGAAAATACAGACTAGAAAAAACCTACAAGAGAACAAATAATAAACAACCCTGAAACATCATCAAAACATGTACACAAGTATCCGAGCATGTATGTATAAATGCTACATAATATCCCAGTAGTACAGTCAGGTTCATTCTCGACTTGCAATCAGAAGAGCTAATTTATTTAAGTGGGCAGCACCGAAGCTTCTGTTTTACCCCCGTCCCCTCACCAAAGCAGCATGTTGCCTCCCAAAGACCACAATCACCGAGGAGACAACTTCCAGATGAAGGAACATAAGGGAATGTACACGTCTCCATACATGGCTAATGTTTGCCTGGTTGATACCTGGTTGATGGGGTTCTGAGAGTTGTTCTATTCCCCAAGCCCAGCCTGAGGCCAGACTTGTTTGGGGATATATTTTGCTTGCACACTGCCACAACAGGCAGGAGAGGGCTCAACACATGGCACCATCCACTGACAGGGTAGTAGTCAGAAAGCCATATTTTTGTGACAGTAGTTCCTTCGTAATTCCAAATATCCAGCTGAAGTTATCGTTGCTTTCTCTGTCAACTACTGTAGTTTTATTCTATCCTGTCAACCTGCTACACCATTGCAGTAGCTTCCTAACTAAAACTTGTATGCACCTTTACTGAAACCTAGTATCCACAAGACCTGAGTAGCAAATAGATTCAGATAACATTGAAATCTCAATCTAATGCACTACAGTAACCATATAAAAATTTGGTTTAGATAGGTCAGGGCTTAGAATCTGCCACAATTGAGCTAGTAGCACCATACCATTTCTGTGTATTTTTAGTAATTAATAAAAAACAATTGTATGTTTATTATATTTTGGTAGAAATTGTGACAATGTTGAACCACGTTGGGCACTGCATACACACAATTGTGATGCTTCAATACACGATGGCAATGATTCTAACACTAATATAGTGACGATTATTTATTCGATTATAACATGTCCCAAGCTCTTGCTTGAATGAGTTTTTTAACAAATTGCAGTGAAAAGTTCTGATTGTTTAAGCAACTGAAACAGTAGAGGTTAATAACACACTAAAATAAAAAATAACTTTATTAAAAAAAAAAAAAAGTCACAACTAAGGGAATATCACTCCAAACATAACATTACTGCCTCACACACACTCTTGGGAAAGTGTCACACTTTACCACAAGTACGTCCAGCTGCAGACAACACACGCTGTCGTCTGGCCCCGAGCTGGGCTTGGGGAGTAGAATTCCCAGAGCTTCCGCCAGGCATAATCAACGTACCTAAACTCACGAGACATTTTCCCTTATAGTTATTTGCCCAATTCCAGGAAACAATTTCTAAACTTGAATTATGTATAAACAAAAATAATGTTATAAATATGGAGAAAACAAAAGGGTAAAGTACTTTTAGAAAGTTGTATAATTTTACAGCTCTAAATACTGTACATGTTAATCTTTTAAAGTGCTGGCATCAGCAGATTTCATTAAAGGATTATTTACAGCAGCATACATTAAATAAAACCTGTTAGATATAACAAATTATGTAATTATAATTTGTTAACATATCTTGACTGATCTATATTTAGTTTCTCAATTCTTCAGTTGGGTCTTTCATCATTATTCAGAATGTTCTACAGTTACTGTACTGTCTAAACTCTATAGATTTAATATTCCACTCAGTTGAAACAAGAGTTTACTTCCATATACAGTGGAACCTCAGTACTCGGACTTTATTAGTTCCAGAAGACCCTTCAAGTGCTGATCTGTTCGAGTACCAAATAATTTTTACCCCACAAGACAATGTAATTGGATTAATTCAGACCATAAAAAATACACACAGATGAAATAAATGCAAATTTATTCTCACTTTACTTGCACTTAAGAGTTGATGGCATATGTGGAAGGTGGTGAGCAGGAGAGATGTTAATGTTTGGCAGGGGAGTCCACAACCATGAAAATGTCAGGTAATTGTGCTTCTGGGGTTCTCTATCTTTTCTGTCTCCCTTTATTTCCCCCTCCACTCATTGGATGCTTTTTTTTTTTTTACAAGAAAACTGTCCAATGATATTTGCTTTTGCCTGCATTTCAAAATGTTTTTTAAAAGTTAATCATATAGTCATTCAACATTTTTATAACAAGGGTTGCCACAGCGGTCATGGTGATCATTTTTAAGAAAACTTTGCCCTTCCCTCCATTTGGCACACATTTCTTTCATTAGAGAACTAGAGTTAGGGATACCAAACTTGGTAGCAAGAACAGACACGTAGACACAAATTTCATATTTTGCTACGAGTTCATTTTCATCTATATCGTGGTCCTAATTATTTGTTCCATTTGGTTCTTATCACTAACATGCTTAGGCACCATGGTGACTTATTTATGCTAAGAATATAACAAACATCTAGAAAACACAAGAAAGTGTACAGAGAAGTTTAGTGAGATTGTGCGCTGAATGACGCTACCAAGAAACTGATGTTACGCATCTTTACATTTGAGTGCCAAGCATATGGTCTACTAACAAGCACGAATAAAACATTCGAGCACCGAGGTTCCTCTATATTTTCATATACTGTACTGTAGTTATAATGGCATAGCATTTTCTCCTGATAATCTCCTTACTTTCTATATACCAGTACTTATACTCTATGTCAAAAGATTTTTGAACGAGCCAAAGTTTAATTTTTGGACTTTTGCTTCCTTTTGTCGATATTTAATACATACCCATAGCTCAGTAAATTGGAAAACAATTATAAAAATATTAACTTGTACTCTGCTTATGTTATGAGTTCTTTAACTGTTCCAAAATAGAGAAGCCTTCAGCTCTTAAGCAAAATAAGTCCAGTAGTGTACTGTAATATGAAAATAGTTATAAATAAAAAAATAAAAAGTATATATTTAAAGCATTAATGGGCTTTATTTACCACTTTTTTTTTTATAGAAAAATACACTCGGCAATTCCTAGGTTTGATTCCTCATTCTTCCACCACTGTTGCTGTTATGAAACTATTGCATTAATTCTGTAGACTGTCTCAATTTGTTTTTATCTACATATGCATAAATTCTTACAAAATAAATTAAATCTATAAACAGGGTGTAGTTAATCTAGCAACATGTATAAAATACAATAGCTTTCCGCATGGTAATTTATTCTCGTGTACATCAAACTGCAACTTCAGACGATAAGTGTGTACTATCACCAAGCCACTGCGATATAATTTCAGTACACTTAATCAGTTTATTTATGCACCTAATAATAAATAGAAATACTGTATATATTTTTCTGTTGAAAGAGTAAACACCACATTGAATGCCAAAGATTATATTTTCAGATAAATTAAATATAAAGACAACCCCAATGTTACAGTCGGCAACAATCCCTAGACTAATAGGATGCATCAACCATGCAATACTCACAGTACAATAAGAGCTTGGTAATCCAAATTCTAGTAACCCGAATCTCTTAGTAATCTGAATGAATTCGTGTTCATTGTTTTTGAGTGAATGACAGGACTAAGCAGGTAAATGACAAAAATGCGGGGGGGTAGGTTAGGTTATCTTGACATGATTTCGGGGCTTTAGTGTCCCCGCGGCCCGGTCCTTGACCAGGCCTCCACCCCCAGGAAGCAGCCCGTGACAGCTGACTAACACCCAGGTACCTATTTTACTGCTAGGTAACAGGGGCATAGGATGAAAGAAACTCTGCCCATTTGTTTCTCGCCAGCGACCAGGATCGAATCCGGGACCACAGGATCACAAGTCCAGTGTGCTGTCCGCTCGGCCGACCGGCTTCCCTAAAACTGTAGGGGTAAACTGTAGAAGTAATCGGGTTGTGTACATAGTAAGAAATTCAGCCAACTCGATCAAAAATTTGGATTATCAAGCATAGACTAAGAAAAAAAAATTGAAAAATTAAATTTGACTTTTGGGAGTCACACCAATTTGATTTGTAAAGTGTTAGTAATATTTATGTTGAGTAAGACTACATACAAAGTGCTGCCTGCATGTGACGACCAACAATGGACCATGATAAACTTCAACATTTGTAAAACAATATACAGTAATATACACTGAACAAATGCAATACCACTCAAGTTAAAAATCACTTGTAAAATGAATTAAATAAGTTATCAGACAAAATAAACTAAGCAATATATGGCATAAATTTTCACAAAGCAATTCAATTAGCCTATTTTGACCAAGTATACAATTGTGTTGAGGGATGCATACTCAAGTAATAAATTATGATCATGTGAATATTAAAATATTTATGGATATGGTTAGGAAGCAAATATATTTTGGTTTGAAGGAGTGAAATTTTATTGAAATATTAATTGCTCGCCTGTAATCAATCGTGCATTAAAAGCCACGTAATAATGAAATTCAGTCTAAAGAAAAATAAGCATTTAAACACATTATGCTTACATCTTATGTTAATATAAACCTACTGTTCCTCAACACGGGCACTCACTGGTATTGTATTAATATGATATGCCTTCTTAAAATTTCACAGCAATGCCAGCATCAACATGTGTTTCTAAAATGAACACCAATTAATCAATCGTTGTTGATCTATGAAAATTGAGAAAACTAAAATAATCATAATACCTTTTTTTTTACAAAGATATTTTGTCTTATTGGTAAAAATATTTTTTATTTATATTCTGTACTGTACACAAGAAAGTAAATGCATATTGACTGCCTAGACCAACCTAGACCAAAAATTTTTAAGTTACTATATTTCACTTGTCATATCTTCTTACTAGTGTATATCACATACTATTCAGTTATACAAGTTTCACGCTATTGCTCTTATAAAACATGGACTATAATACCTAATATTCCATTTAAGAGAAACAATACAATTAGCGTTCTCAACATTATTCAATCCATATATGTATCTACTATATGCCTAAAAACCTACAGTGAACATTTGCACTTGTCAATATTATGTGATTGGATTTAAGAACAATCATTTAGTCGTAACTTTTTAAAGCCATGAATAGTGGACAAAAAATAAAGTTACTATTTAAAATAATTTAATTGATAAAACCAAAATTTTCTATTTCAATTAGCTACCACATTTTGCATATAGTTTTTTGCTTTTACTTTCCTCTTGCAACAATAACAGGAGGATGTCTGGTTTTGACCAGTCTGGTCAAAAGGGCGAAGCCTCCTGGAGCCTCTACCGTGTTGGCAAGGGATTTCCAAACAATGTAGCTATCATTTTACAACCACCTTATAGCTAATTCCATCTGATGATTACTGTTCTGCTTCATGAGGGGTGTCTACCGAATTTTGTTCATCCTGTTGGTGAAAGACATTAATTTGAAGTTAACTAAGCAAGGCTTAGTTGTGGGATACATCAGTTAATTTTATGAGATGAAGAGCAAAATTGTATTGGGTGAAAAGGAAAGTATAGTTTCTCAAGAAGGAGAATAAGAAATTATAAACCATCTTCACATGTAAGAAAAGGCAAATGAGAAATTAAGATAAAATTTCTAAGAATTGTTCACTTGACTACTGATCCTCCCTTTATTTCACTAAGAATGTTGCATGGCTAAAATGAATACAAACCAAGATAAAGAACAAACAAGGGCCAAGATATTACGAGAAACATAGCAAATGGAGATGTAATTTTAATTAGTGACTTGGATTAGGAACAATGACCCGGAATTTTACAATGATAGGGAAATTAGTATTGGTGTTCTTATGTGGGGTGATACTACTATAATGGGAAACATTTTGATGTCAATGGAAACCAACATGCTATTTGCCTCAATGCTGCTGGGGGCAATGATGTTGGAAAATATGGAAGGTATTGCGTGCTAATTAGAGAGAAGCCATACAAAGAATTAGGTCCAAAGGAAGGGATGTCAGCACAAAGTGGCAATGTGCCTAAAAGTAATTATCAAAATAAGGTACCAAACCTGGGAAAACTATATAGCACCATCTGTGGTGCACAACAGTAAAAAGCAAAATTGCAGATATAACTTAGGATGCTAATACCAGAAAAAAGAAATAAGATAAGCAGTGTTAAAGGGATCAGATTCAACAAGGATTCTATCGAGTGGCAAGGGACTGAGATATTAGGAGAGCAAAATCTTCGATCATTCTGAAAATGATACAACGAGGTGCACTACCGTAAGTGACACACGGTTAAAACAATAAGGCACAAGGACCAGATTCACGAAGCAGATACGCAAGTACTTACGAATGTGTGCATCTTTCCCCAATCTTTGGTGGCTTTGTTTACAATTATTAAACGGTTAATGAGCTCCGAAGCACCAGGAGGCTGTTTATAACAATAACAGCCGATAAGTAAGTTTCATGCTTGTAAACTGTTTAATAAATGTAACCAAAGTAGTAAAAAAATTGAAGAAATATGTAAAGGTTCGTAAGTACTTGCGTAACTTCATGAATCTGGCCCTTGGTCTCTGTTCCATTTAGTATCCCTAATTAAGAGTGTAGCCAATATGCAGCCTAGCAAGTCATTTCCCACCTGTTGCATAGGGGAGCCGGTCGGCCGAACGGACAGCACGCTGGACTTGTGATCCTGTGGTCCTGGGTTCGATCCCAGGCGCCGGCGAGAAACAATGGGCAGAGTTTCTTTCACCCTATGCCCCTGTTACCTAGCAGTAAAATAGGTACCTAGGTGTTAGTCAGCTGTCACCGGCTGCTTCCTGGGGGCGGAGGCCTGGTCGAGGACCGGGCCGCGGGGACACAAAGCCCCGAAATCAACTCTAGATAACCTCAAGATAGGAGTAAGGCCATGGGGATACCACCTGGCACTCAGTTTGTTGTAGATTGTGTTATGGATGACAGGGGTAGACATCTGTATTCCTATCCTCTCCATGTACACCACCCTATTCCCCCCTCCCCCCATTCACACCATCCCGTCTAATGGATAGGTAATGAAGGGGAAAAAACTAACGAGTTGTTACAAGATTAAACTAAGAGCTAAATGATGGCACAAGTGATGTATAGTGTAAGTCAGTATCCTGGGGTCTAGCATGAGCCCACACACCGAGTACGTGTGCATACATTTTAACTTGCCTGTTCTATTTTTGTTTAAGTGAATATTCTACTTTCTCCTTCTTTGTGCTCTGATACTGAAGCAGCAATATAATCTTCATGAAACATTTTGAGTGGTATTGGCAAAATCTTCACAGCTATACCATACATGTCCCATTGCACAAGCAAATTTGAAAAATTTCAAAACTAATTTAATGATTAGAAATGACAAACCTTCGAATCCAATTCCTCTGGCAGATGTGGCTGCTGCTCATCATCCTCATCATCATCCTCATCTTCCTCATCATCCTCCGCCTCCTGCTTGTTTAATCTCTTGCGCCGATTTTCTTCAGCTTGTATCTCTTGCCAAAGGAACTCAAACTGATCGCTTGAGTTACTCAGACCCTCGCGCCACAGTTCCTGGTGGGTTTCGTATTCTTCAATCTGCATTAAAATAAATAAAAATTCTTAATCTCACACAGTCACAATATATATACTGTACAGGTATTGTAAACTTTTACATTTTTAACCACAAGAAATATAACCATGCACTCTCTCAACTCTGGAAACAATAAAATGGCTGATGATCTTTATTATATAAAGAAACATTGAAACTCAAACTTGTATCTATTCTCTATTGCTTTAAGAGTTCTCAAATTCAAATTCTGGTAACACAAATCTTTGAGCACTCTGAATGAATTCCCATTTGAGTTCTTGATTTTTTAATCCAAATACAAATTCAAGTTAAAAGGTTATATGTAAGAAATTTTAATAAATTTGAATTCAAGTGCATAACATTTTAACTAATAGAAATTTGGGTTACGGGTAACAATTCAGTTATAAGGGCTTTATTTCATTAATCCTTGCACTGTGCACCACAACCATGATTGCTTTAGGCCTATCATGAAATATAAAACTCCCATGCACATACTAGGCTCAGGCCTCTAGCAACCATCTCCCCCACCCCTCCCCTCACAAAAAAATAAAAAATCCAGTCTGGCACATCACCATCCAGTGTTTGAAAGTGCAGGGCAGCCATACTTGGAGCCACTGAATGTCTAACAGCAGCAAATGAGTGACTAAAATGTATATATTTACAGCCAAAATGTGTCTTGTGCATTTATAAGATTAAGACTCATACTAATGTATCTAAATTAGTAAATGCAAAAGGTGAATATATTTACATTTATATATCAGAAAGACTTCTCCCCGTGAAAGGCTCAAACCTTAGACTGTTAGGAGTCTACATATGTAATCTGGAGGAATGGTCTAGAAAATGGCTGCTAAAGTTCAACTCAGGAAAGTGTAAAGTAAAGAAATTAGGCGAAGGGAGCAGGAGGCTGAACACAAGGTACCATCTGGGAGGTGAAATCCTGCAAGAGTCAGATAGAGAAAGATCTGGGGGTTTATATCACACCGAACCTATCCCCAGAGGCCCACATCAAAAGGATATCATCAGCGGCATATGCTAGGTTGGCCAACAAAAGAACTGCCTTTAGAAACTTGTGTAAGGAATTGTTCAGGACCCTGTATACCACTTATGTCAGACCAATCCTGGAATATGCAGCTCCAGCCTGGAGTCCATACGTAGTTAAACACGGGAAAGTTAGAGAAGATTCAGCGGTATGCCACCAGGCTCGTCCCGGAACCGAGAGGTATGAGCTACGAGGAAAGGCTAAAGGAGCTGAACCTCACGGTCCTGGAAAACAGAAGAGTAAGGGGAGACATGATAACCACCTACAAAATTCTCAGGGGAATTGACAGGGTGGACAAAGAAACTCTTCAGCGCAGGTGGGACACGAACAAGGGGACACAGGTGGAAACTTAGTACCCAGATGAGCCACAGAGACGTTAGAAAGAATTTTTTCAGTGTCAGTAGTTAATAAATGGAATGCACTAGAAAGTGATGTGGTGGAGGCTGACTCCATACACAGTTTTAAATGTAGGTATGATAGAGCCCAGCAAGCTCAGGAATCTGTACACCAGTTGATTGACGGTTGAGAGGCGGGACCAAAGAGACAAAGCTCAACCCCCGCAAGCGCAACTAGGCGAGTACACACACACGAGACTGTATATTCTGTAATGATTATTTTCTTGTTTAGGGCCTCTATCCCTCTGATTAGTGCTCTTGCAAATTGGTTTAATTGGAAGAGTAGTTCTCCAAATGTCATCTTTGTGCATGGTGAAGAAAAAGAAATAACTAGAATGTATTACACATTATAAATTTATACAACATTTCAAACCCACATGTTTTATTCTCAAGTGATGGGGTGGGGTGGGTGGAAGGGGGAGAGCAGGGAGAGGTGGTTGACAGGCAGCCAATGCTAGCCAGATTTGTAGACAGCCAGAAACTCCTGAGTCACCCTCCCTCCTCCTAACCACCCACCCACCCATGCCACCTTGCCCGCCAGTGGCCTAGTTGACCCCAGTGGCTTCCTGAAGCTGTTTTGAAGAGATGACTCCCCAACTAGTGGGTTACATCAGTTGCAGAGTTCTGTTTTGCCTATGGGACACCCAAGCCTGAACTTGGCCCCTCTTACAGAGGCACAGAGCTAGTGACACTGCCACCCCACCAGGAAAGCATCCAGAAAATCAACAAATCAATACACACACACTACTGCTGCTGGATTTAAAGAACTAATGCCTCAAAACTGTTAACAAATTTCCCAAACAATCTAATCTCTCAAAACTAGCATGAGCTTGTTAATACTCATTCCCTGCAAGTACATCCTGTCCTCTTGACCATTTACAATGTCACTAAACTGGTTTATTTACTAAACTGCCTAGACCTAACTGGGGACCCACAAAAAGAAAATGGGATTTCAGGTTAATTTTTAGAGCTACTATTCAAGAGAACAGGCTGGCCACTAAGGGAAGGGCCAGGGCTAAAGCTTCAGATCTTTCCAGCCTTCCAAACCAGTTCTGGAACACACATGAAGAACAAACATCAACCAATGAACCTAGAAGGCAAGAAGTTACAAGGGCTCAACCAGAAAGAGGCATTTCATTATATTCAACATTGGTTTTCTGAGGGAGTGCTTTGTGGCTCCCTAAATTAATTACCAACATTGAAGACCCACAAAAGATGCACTAGGAAGAGAGATGGCAGGTAATCAAAACGAAGAAGAGACAACTGGATGAGAGAAATGACCCAAAGTAACAAGTATGATGAGGCCTGAGGACATTAACTAAAAATACCAGGCTGCCAAGACCCTGTTTCACTACCAAAACCTGCACATTTGAATATCAGCCCAGAACATGTTAGCAAAGACCACTGTAAGAGCAGCATACTTACAAACATCATGGGCATCAGGGTAGACTGCAGGCTGGCTAGACTTAACACTGCAGACAACCAGAAAAACACAAGCTTCAAAACAGTGTATCAAAGAAAAGGGATCTACCCACAAAGTATCCACTGAGGAAGAATTGATGGCACAAAGGCCAACTCATTCTTATCCAGAAAAAGACATATTTGCAGATAAACATGATGTCCTCCAAGGCCCCCCAAAATTAAAACCCTGCCTCTACAGAAGAGCATGCAGCTCCCCAACCCTACAACCACATGCAAACGCCAACAGTAAAACAGCTTTAAATAATCATGGACCGAAGGGAAAACCATAAACCGAGGGAAAGAAAGGCGAGAACATAGTCAAAAGACCAAGAGGGGTTTGGGGAAGGTGCACGAGCTTTCTTGGTACTGGTGACCTCCACCTGAACTAAGTCCACCTTCCTAAGTCTTCCACCTAAGTCCTCTTCCTTTCCTTGTGGATGTGGCCCCCCTCCTCCCCTAACTCCCTGGTTCCAGCTCCAAAGTATCTGAGGGTTTCAGTTGGGGTAGGGTTTAACTTGGGATGTAACTCGGCCTTCTGGCTGCTTTTGGCCAGAAACTGGACTGGTGACAATTGAGAGTTGTCATTGTTTGATGTGTAAGTCAGCTTGTCAGAGTTGTGTATTGAAAATTTGACACGCGTCAACATTTTTCTGAAGGAAAAAGTGCGCTTTGTGATCCTATTTCAGAGCTTTTGCAGGCACCTTGCCTCAGTGCAATACATACTGGGTTGATCTCCGATTCCCAGGTGCTCCTCACCCACACGGAAGTTGTTACAAAGGCCCTGTTGGACAGTGTCTCATGGGCGCATGACATGGCTAGTTTTACTCTTTTTGTTAAGATGTAAGCAGAGTGCAACTTGCAAGAGGGTTCCCAGAGAAGTGTTATATATCAACGATGAAAAATATCAAAAGTTATTTGCAGGGAATTTCCTTTAGTAGTAAAATTTATGTATCAGTTTTGCATGGTAATGTTCTTAAACTTCTGAAGTTCATTCCCAAAGCAAGTACATCAGAGAGAATAAAACTTACAGCTTTGGTTTTGCTGTGAACTCACTCTCCCCTAAACAATAAGAATAAGCAAAGACTTTATCCACAACTTTAACATGTACTCTCCAATGCATTAAACAATGAGCCCTTCATTTACCCACCATTCTTGGAGCAGACTCGTCAGACCCTGGCAGTGATATACTGCTGACCTTCTCAAAAAGTTTAAGTGGTGTTGGCAGATCTGGAAGCCCTTTAGAGCGGAAGAATCTGAAAATAAAACACGATTACCCAATTTATACTTTAAAGCACAGAACTGTCCAGAGTACCCATAAGAAGCCACATTACACTACACTACAGCAACAGGATTATAAGTACAATGACAGGAAATATAGAATGTTATTAGGACATATTCAAGTAGCAAATTTTTCTTGACATTCAAGTAGCAAATTTGTCTTAATTCACTGAAAGTATATAAATGCACAGCGTTACTTCCTGGATAGTGTGAGCTCGTGTCTCACCTCATTAGTGTTTCCTTATAATTTATCTGATGGCAAGAAATGGATGGGAGCGGTACTCTTTACAACTTGGCCTCAAAATAAAAGGCACAAATAAATTTCTTGTAGCAATTATTCTCCCTCTTATAATGGGCTTAAGGTATGATGTCAGCGATGATTTCATTGGTCTCCTTCCATTCATGCCCAATTTCAGACATGAAAATCTTAAACAATTCTGCTATCACTGCAAATACTGACAGTCAAGTTATAGAACGGCACATCTCAAGCAAACATGCAATACTGTACGTCAGTGTGAACATAATTGGAGATAAGTAAAGAACAGCTTGCCTCACTTATTACTAGTTAAACCCTCGTATAATAAAATTGAGATTAATATTGTGTAATTAAATGTTTATGAAACAAAAAAGAAAACTCAATTTCTAAATTAAGATACCATAAAATGTTGTGTCCATAACTTACTTGATGACACTAGTACAGTCCCGATACAAGAAGTGTAGAGCATTTGGGTGGGAAGGTTCAACAGCTTGACCCACATCAATAATCCAACATTTATTTTCATACCACAAAATGTTGTATGCACTTAAGTCAGCATGAACCAAATGGCATCCGTGGAACATCATCGTCATGGCCTAAGCAGGAAAAAAGTGATGATTATAACGAAATGCCCCTTTCTGGGCAGCAGCTTGGTAGTTCTCCCTGCTTAGTTTACTGGCTTGGCCAGGGCACTGTGGAGATGCCAGGCTACTGGTTAACTTTACTGACCTACTAAAGATCTCCTCTCTCATATGAAGGAGCATACACAGATAAAAAATCTAACTGCAGCATAGACAACCCACCCACTATAATGTACAGGAATGCATCCAAATACCTTAATCCTTCTACTATGTGACACAGCTGAGGGATGTTTTAAAGTACCATTTAAGATTTAAAAGTTCTGCAGGTACACAGGGCTCACATCTGCTTCCTCAGGGGCGCCAGTAAACAGAAGCCATCTTTGAGAAAATTGTGGTTTTGATAAAAACTGACCCATGTTCTGGCATAGAGAGGTATAGCATCTACCCCTAACCAGCAAAGAACAAGGTAAGTAACTCCCTGAAGCACAAGAGACAATCTACCAACTTGAGCAACACCCAAGCAGTAACTCAGCCATTAGAGAAAATTAACTGCCGGCAATCACCAAACGGTCTCCTATAAATAAGAAAGGGAAAGGGCAGCCAACAACTGAAATGAATTCTGCAACATTGCACTTTTTCAACGTAACCATACATGGTATAAGATAAAGCACTCCAGCACCTTCCTCCACAATTTACAGTCCCAGTTGTATAAAAAAAAAAAAAACTTCTTGATGTTCAAGTGTTGAATGTAATGAAATGCCTATTTCTGAGAGAGAGGGTAGCTTCCTGTAGGTATTTCACCGAGATAGCTCCCAACTACTAGGTCACATCAACCGTAGAATTCTGTTTGGCCTATTGAGGCCAAAAATTCAGTTTTTCCTACCGAGGACTAGAGCCAGAACCTGGACCTCTGTCACGAAGGCACAGAGCAGGTGACACTTTCACCCTGCTGGGACAGCATCCAGAAAGTCTGCAAACCAATACAGACCACTGCAGGGTACAGAGACTGAAACCTCAAACACTCCTAAACGAACTCCCCAACAATGTAGACAAATACCTGAATCTCTAAGTGTGAGCTTGCTAGCACTACTTCCCCAATAGTTGGGGAAAGGGGGCCCAGACCTCCTGGTCCCCTCTGGTCTACTACACCAGTTCTGGAACAAATGTGCAAATGACACCCATCAACCGACAACCTGGGAGATAGGGATAAAATTAGGGAGCCACGAAGACTCATCCAGAAAGAAGCGTTGAATGTAATGAAATGCTGGTTTTCTGGGGAAGCCCCTTGTGGCTCCCAGAAGATAACTACCTACAGAGGAAGGAAAAGCAGGGACTCATCAGGGAAGAGGAGAGACCAGAGGTCATCAAGATGAAGAAATGGTTGACCAAGAGAAATGACCCGAGGTCACACAGACATGAGGAGGCCTGAGGACATCAATGAAATACCTGGATGACAAGACCCTGTACCCAATTATCAGTCCAGGACATGTTAGCAAAGACCATTGTAAGAGCAACACAATTGTGATCATCATGGGCACGAGAATAGATGGCAGGCTGGCTGAACATAATGACTGCAGACAAAGTGAGAAACACGAGCCCTTGAACATGGAACTAAGGAAACAAGATCATCCCACAAGGCATCCACAGAGAATTTGGATTGAACCTGGATGGGGTTCTCGGAGTTCTTTTACTCCCCATGCACGGTCAAGGGTCAGGCTTAACGTGTGAAAGCTTGCTCAAACAGGCTGTTGCTTTGAGTGGCCCGCAGAAGAACTTATCCACTACAGTCCAGTTGGTCCAGTACTTTTTGCATAAAACTGTCCAGTTTTTTCTTGAAGACATCCACTTTTGTTCTGGCAATATTTCTTATATTTACTGGGAGGATATTGAACAACTGTTCATACAGTGCTCTCTGTTGGTACCTATGGCACCTCTATTCTTCACTAGCTTTGTTCTGCATTTCCTTCCATATCATTCACTCCAGTATGTTATTGCTGTGCAAATTTGGCACCTGGTCTCCCAATATTTTCCATGAATGGTATATATTATTTTATACCTCTCATCTCCTTTTTAGAGTACATTTTGAAAGCTTCGAGATGATCCCAATAGTTTAGGTGCGTTATCGGTAGCAGAAAGTGAGTGGTGATGGACCACCTCTGGACACAGCACATGATGCTTAGTTGGTTCGGCTTCAATTTGTTTTCAAAAAGAAATTCTGAAGCTCCCCAAACCTACTACCAGGAGAGAGTACCAGCAGGAAAACAGCCTTGGATAAGGTTACTGTATCAGACTAAAGGGTAAACCGTAAACCAATAAGAAGAAAGATGAGGACACGTTAAAGCGCAAGAGGGGCTCAGGCAGCGCATGACCGTGCCAGATGTGAAACAATGAGCAAAACAGCTTCTGAAACAGTGCTGTGGTAATACTGTACTGACACCAAATGAAAGCAGCAGAGGCTCTGCTAGCACTGAATGATAAGAGGCAACCGTTTCCACAGAGATACCATTAGAAAAAACAAGAATGGAATGAAAGCACCACAAGAACAGAGCCAGAAGAGTGATGACAAAGGAAGAGGAAGTGGAGAAAACAGCACCAAGAAACCACATACTGTACTGCACCAGGATGACAAACACAGGTGCATCCCCCAAGTCAGCAACCTGCTCACCATAAAGACAGCACTAAGATATCAGAAGACCAGCCATGAAGTGCCAAGGAGAAGTTCGAACAAGCGAGGAACACCCCTGGGCAGATCTTTTGAAAGAGGCAGAGCCATGGAAAAACACTTGGGTTCGAATACCGAACAAGCAGCGCCCGAGACCTGAGCCGTCTTACCGCATGGGCCCGATGGGCACTTGCCCAGGGGGCCCCACGAGCATTGAACATGTGCATTATGGAAGAAGAATGTTTAAATATTTAGGTCTTCTTGCAAGCACACTTAAAAAATATAATCCTACATGAACCAAAACAACTCTGCTGTGCACCTTCCAAGCACCAACTCATATCTGGCCAAAACCTACCTCACAGTAATTAAAATTTTGATGCTAAAAACAAAACTGTACAGATACAGATGAGCATTGTCCAAACTCTGCAGAGTAATGGCTAACTGTATAGCTAATTTCCAAGGTTGTTTATACAAAATCTGTAACAGTGAGACAGCATTTCATAGCCACACAAAGTATTCAAGAACTATAGGCACACAACCTACACATCTGAAAATAAAGTAAGTGACTAGGTTTTGCTCTGTCCTGGACCATTATCACACAACTTAAAAATGGTCCAAGATGAACCAAAACATTGTAACTGCCTTTATTTTCAGATGTATGAATTACGTGTAATTTTCACCCACATTGTGACTTACTCTTTGTATATTCAAGAACTTAAACAGAAAATTTATGAGGGTTTACTGTACATCACTTGAAATAAAAGTTTGACTGGTATTTTAAATTTCTATAATTTACCCCAATACATGCAAGTATTTTTTGCATAATATTGCACCACAATGACGAATTTAACATTTATGTAATTTACCTTTAATGAATATTTATGAAACTTACCTTTACCGTCTGTTCATAAGCCGAACAGAGATCAGAAAAGGAAAGGTTTGCGTCTTTCAGTTTTGGAGCTGCCTGATGATTGGATCCAATAAACGTCATCAGCAAGACATGTTGCTTAATGAGAATTGGCTCTGGGGAGGGGATTTTGGCACTCTGAAGCCGACGAAGATTATGATACTCTTTCTCTGCCCATAAACGAATAAACTGAAATAAACAAATCAAAAACAATAATTTGTGCAGAAAATTTTATTAATAAAATTAATTTTATTATTTTATTAATGCATTATCTAGCATGTATATCTTGAAATCATGAAAAATATCAACTGACTCATGCATCCTTCATGACCAGCAAATCGTATTAACACTTTGACCTGCCCGGTCCACTTCAAGATGGGCCTGGCGTTTCTCATGAACTCACACCCACATTAAAATGTGGGGTTGGGCGCTCACTTAGCCGAGACCACCACTTGGCTGAGACCAAACAACACTAGAACCAGAGTGACAGGGAATCCGATGCATGCTACCACCAGAAAAGAACTAATGATGGAGCAGTCAGCTGTTTACAGGTTGTCACCCATCCCCCAAACTAGAGGGGAGAAATGGGGTAAATGACCTACTATAAGTTTTGTGAATTTTCAATTGTTTTACATAGTTTGAGGAATTCTTTGGTGCTCTCAATGCTGCAGTCTCATTTGAAGCCAGAAATGGTTTTTGTTTTATTTTGCTGACTTTTGCGTGCCTTTCTCGTTGGGTGGAAAACATGAATAAAATCAAATTTTTATTGTTAAGTGCCACTGCTCCCTGCACCTCTGAGGAGGCCCAAGGTTCTGGTTCACAGTCCCTGGTAGGCCATTAGAACTCTGCCACTGATGGGATCTAGTAGTATGTCACACTATCAGAGATAATAGCTTCAGCAAGCCACAATGGGCTTCCCCCCAGAAAAGAAAAAAAAATTTGTCATCCAAATGCCTCCTGGAGGCATCTCTGGTTGTAACGAACTGGGTTGCTGCCATATAGTTCGTGTGTACATCCTCAATTCAACAATCAGTATTTTCCCTTGTGCATACAGGGAATGCCTCTTGGAATGCTTGCACAATTGCTTTGGGAGTGATTTTTACCCTTATCATACATACCTACCATTTCTACATACAAGCCTATTACTACCACCATTTCTTCTGTATTCACAAATACTATACTGTAGTGTCATTTGTTGAGGGACCGTCTAGTAATCCAATAACTTTGTCTACGGTATCTGCTCCCTTTGTGACTCTCTACCCTGATGTTATATCCTTTACACCCAATGATTGCAGTATTACAGACCTCTAGCCAATATGTTTATTACAAATTTACTATTTGATGCAAGTTCTTTTCTAATTTCTTGTTTTTCTAATTTCTTGTCTAATGTCCACATTTAATTGTTCACTGCATTCTTTGACCTTGAATGCCTACCATGTTGTTTTAGTGTCTGAAAACATTTGCTCATGATCATTTAATTTTCCTTGTACACTAGCCCCTGATTAACCTCCTCCGTCTACTCTGTCCAAAGTATTTTCATTGTACGTCCCTACTTTATCTGGCAGAGACTTTGATGTGATCGTCTGGTGACAGTTTACTAGTCATAATCACCCCTAAGATGCCAATGTCAAGTTGCACCCCAGAAACACAAACATGTTAATTCTCAAACAGTAGAATACACAAAAATAAACAGACCTTCTGAGTGTTGTTTTTAGTTATTCTGTCCTTGAATCTGTAGTCCTCTCTTATATAACGCTCCCGTGTCTTGAAATCTGTCAAGGTCGTCTTGAACACCTTCACAGCACAATCTTCAGGGAGTGGTCTATCTTCAAGCCTGATAAAACAATGAATGAGTGGTGCATTACCTTCACCTTCCAGCAGTCTTTCAAGAAAATAACTTACAACAATGTTTTCAATACGACACAGTAAAAGTGGGATTGTATAGTAATTATGTATCAGGATAATAACGATGAAAAAAGACCCATGTATAAATGTACTGTATTAAAACCTAAATATTCGGTTGTATCCTACATCCTTTCTCAAGGTGCTGTACACAATGTTCAGAACACTGTATACAGCACCTTGAGAAAGAACGTAGGTTACATCCAAAAATTCAGGTTTCAATACATTTATATATATATATTGGGTCTTTCCTTCACCTTCATTCAAGCACTACAGAATTGTACTAAGGTTCTCCAATATAATATATTGTTATAAATATTATACAGTAGTTAAAAACTTATTATGAATCTGTTACCTTCATGTACTAATTAAGAAATTACAGTGCTTTCCTAATATATATCAACAAAAATAATTATATGCACATTTACAAATTTTAAATACAAAAACTTGGCAAAAAAAAAAATAGTTTTTTGTATAGCCCTTTTGCCACAATTGCATTAAAATCGAATTAAAAAATAGAACTACAAGAGCTTTAGTTTTACAACCACATTTAGTTAAAGTGGCTATTGGCTCACTTGACATAATCATCAGGTGTGATTGGAATACACCTTTTCCATTACAACATTGAAGTGGCTATACATATTTTAAAGCCAAATTTTTCCAAAAATTTTATTATATAGTATTGGTACTTACTTTCCAAGCTGACCATGAAAAACAACCGCCTCCTTTCCTGAACTGATAATGCCATTAAATGACTCCAGGATGGCATTATTGACCAACTTGAATATCAAAAGGCGAGTTTTGGGGTCAAGAGCCATATCTGATGTTGCTTTCTCCACCTTTAGGATATAAAGCCACAAGTTAAGCATCTTTCATTAATTTAAGCAACAATTTATATATTACGGTACTGGTACTGTATAAAAAAAAATTATGTAATACAACTGAATGGCTGCTACAGGACAAGCTCAAAAAAACAGCCATTACTTATATTATAAAAAAGTTGAACTTGCTATGACGGGTGACTAGGAAGACTGGTCGAAACCGCATCAGTGATAAGACTAAGGCACCGAGCAGAAACAGGCTTCAAGCTGGGACACCACCTGTTGGTGGTAATCTTTTGCAGTGTTTGTTGACTGTTTCAGTGCCGCTATTTTATGAACCATGCAGTTGTCTGCATTGTCTCGTCTACTTTGTTATTGCTTTCCCAGTGAGTGATGGTAACAATCCCCTGCTCCCTGTGCCTCTGTGAGGGGGGCCAGGTTCTAGCTCTGGTCCCTGGTAGGCCAACAGGATGCCTATGACTAATGTAACGTAGTGAAGCTATCTCAATGATATGACTTCAGGGAGCTCTCAAGGGGCTCCCCCTTCCTCAGAATATTAAAAAATACTAAAATTTCTAGATACTATAAAATAAAAAAAAAAAAAAAAAAATTACAGTACTATATAAAACATGAACATAGATTATGAAGTGTGCTCATCATCAAAAATAATTGAACAAATAAAATGGCTACATGATAATACTGTACTATTTTTTTAGTGTACAGGTAACAATTTTTTGTAGATTTTTATAGAAAATTTAAGCTTATAAAATACTGTACCTTGTCATGAACACGATGCTTTCTTCGCATATCAGTCAATGCGGAGCGATAAAGTTTGTTGAATACCTAGAACAAATGAGAACCTTGACATTAACGAATCAATATACAATATTTATAAACAATATTGCAAAACTATTAACATTATTTTTACAGTATGCATTCATACAAAAACCTATTTTTAAAGCATCAGCACTAAAAGTTCACCTGGCAAATATTATTAAAACTACTGTACTACATAGTGTATTTACACACCTTATTGGGTAAATGCATATCAAATCCTCCTCCATCTCCTGTATTTATACCAGGCGGTAGATTCATTATCCTTTCAGCATTTTTCCGGCCGCTTATATTAAGATCATGTTTGGTGACAATTTTTGCACCACATTTCACATAACCACATGGAGGTATCACCGGGTCTTTGCGCTTCCGTTCCTGAAATAATAGAAAATTAAGCATATTTGAAGTGCTGTAAGAATATAGCTTCAGCCATCTTCATCACAAGTAATCTTACATTATTTCAATAAAACTAATACAAAATTCGTTCACAAACCTCAAACGAGTCTATGGCTCTGTTTTCCTCATCTATTTCTGGGAGCTCATCATCACTGTCTGGACCATACCATTGAGGACAGACCTTAAACTTGTTAAATGAAACGGACACTGAAAGAAATGTAGAATACCAAACATTATACAATATGTCAGGCATATACATCATAATGATTACACATCTATCATCACACTCATTTTCCACTGTTATGGGGGAAAGGTATCAGACACAAGGAAGTAAATGAGATGTATGCCAAATTCTGTGACATGTACAACAAATTCACAAAAATATTTATACAAAAACACAGATGCAGAGTCAGAAAACAGGATTGGTTCAACAGAAATCGTGAGAGGGCTGGAGAGGAAAAGACAAGAAAATGGTTATAATAAAGGAAGAGGCCTAACCCTCAAACATAGCACTACAAACAAGAAAAACAAATACACAGCAGGGATGAGAGAGGTAGAAAGGAACTCTTGAGAAAAGGGTAGCAGACAAATGTAAAACAGAACCAGGCTTTTTCTTTAAATCCATTAAAAGCAAGCTGCTTGTAATGGATAAAATCCAGAGATTGAGAATGGGAAACATTCACAAAAAAATGAAAGAGAAATGCGTGAAACACTAAATGACATTTCAAAATGTGTTTGTGCAAGATGAGGTTTTCAGAGCACCAAACAATGCATTTTCCAGAGAACACTGTATCGTACATAGAGGTGTCTCGAGACAAAGTGAGAAAAAGTACTCAAGGGACTAGGAAGGCAAAGCAGTTGGACCAGATGAAGTTTCACCTTGGGTGCTGAGAGAATGTGCAACAGATCTAAGCATTCCACTTCAATTGTTATTCCAAATATCTTTGTGCATAGGAAATTTAACAGGTATATGAAAAATGGCAAACAGTTCCAGCCTACAAAAATTACAGCAGAGAAAGCCCTCTAAATTATTGACCCTTATCATTTTGACAAGCATGGTAGTCAAAACACTAGAAAAAATAGGTAAAACCATATGAGAAGAACACCTAGAGAGTAATGACATAACAGATACTATTTTTTTTTAACCAGAAGATTGTGTAACAAATTTACTTGGTTATGATAGAGCCACAGAGATTCTACAGGAAAGAGATAGTTGGGTTGACTGTCAAAAACCTTTTATTATGTCCAGACAAAGTCTCACAAAACAGGTAGTTTTGGAAACATGCTGGAGGGGGTGACAAAGAAACTGCATACATGAATAAAAAAATTTCTGACAAAAAGATGAGGGGGTTAATTAGAGCCAATGTATCTGACTGAAAGAGTGTTACTAGCGGAGTACCACAGGGTTCAGTTCTTGCACCAGTAATGTTCATCGTCTACATAAACATTCTACCAGAAGGAATACAGAATTATATGAACATATTTGCTGATGATGCTAAGATACTAGGCAAGATAGAAAACCTAGATAAAATAAATGCTTGGGGCACCATGTGGTAAATGGAATTCAATGTAAATAAATGCTATGTTAAGGAATGTTGAATAGTAGAATATAAACCACACAACCTACAAATGATATGAAAAGGACTTAAAGAATTAAGAAAGAAAGATCTAGAGGTGGTTCTGGATAGTCTACCGTCACCAGAGGAACACAAAGGACTGTGTGAGGAGCATATGCTGTGCTTTCCAATTTCAGAATCGCTTTTAATTACATGGATGGTGAAATACTCAAAAATGTTCATGACTTTTGTGAGACCAAAATTGGAATAAGCAGCAGTTGTATGGTGCCAATATCTCAAGAAGCATAGTAATAAACTGAAAAAGATGCAAAAGCATGCTACAAAATGGCTTCCAGAACTAAAAAACAAAAGAGTTATGAAGAGTTATGTCAAAACTAGAGGATAAAAGAAAAAGAGGCATTATGATCATTTACAAAACAATAACAGGAATTGACTAAATTGACAAAGAGGAATTCCTGAAACCGGCAACCTCCAAAACAAGAGGTCAGAGATTCATCTTAAGGAAACAAAGGTGCCCAAAAAATTATTAGAAAGTTTTCTTTTCCAAACAGAGAGGTGGAACAAGTTAAATGAGATGGAGACGAAAACCATCGGCAGTTTCAAAGCATTATATGACAAAGAGTACTGGGAAGACGGGACACCACAAGCGTAGCTCTCATCCTGTAACTACTCTTAGGTAATTACATGCACACAGGGTGCATGCCTGTGTATAATGTGCATATGTGTGTTTAGGGTACATGCACCTAAGGTTCATGTGTACAAGGGGCATAAATGTGTATAAAGTTCCTAAGATGTGTATACGGTTCACAGGGTGCATACATGTGAATAGCGTTCATAGAGTACATACACGTGTATAGGGTGCATGTGCGAGTACAGGTTGAACGAGTGTGTATTGGTTGCATACACGTGATGCATGCATGTGTATAGGATGCATACTTGGGTTCAGGCTCCAGATGTATCCAAAACAAGAGAAATGTAAACAGACAAGTGTTGATTTACAGTGGTAAACAGTTATGGATGACAAGTGAATTCTCTACTATGTTCCAGGACAAGGTACTGAAATTTTCTGTAGGTTTTTGCATGGATAACACACTTGACATTAACAGCTGACAACATATTAGGAACACATCTCACCTTTGGAATTGCCATTAAAATGTCTCTCCTCTCTGTTTAATTGCTGATCATATTCACGATCAAATTCGTATTGAAGCATCTGAGCCAAGAGGAGATCATCTTTAGTGTCGTCCGATTCTTTCAAACTAATCAGATTACCGGGGTCTGTCTTATCATCTGTTAAAGACCGGTAATAAGCCTCATTTTCTCTGCAAATAAATACAATGTACATAGTCAGATGATAATGAGAATGAGTATACAGAACATACCATATGCTTAGTACTGATTCAGGATTTACTCATTGTGTATACCATACAAAGAAACAGCAATATATTGTTAATAAAAAAAAACCCACTCACTTCTCAAGCATGTCCTTAGCAAGGTCTTCTGACATGAGGTCACGAAATGAGGTAGAGGTCGACTCTCTCGGAGGCAAAACTAATGCAGCAGCCTCACTAAAACTAGACACTGGAAGGCCGCCAACCATCCCAGCACCACCCCAAGCAAGTTTTGGAGCGAGTGGAGATGAGCCGATAGGTTGATGTTCATTCACTGGTTGTGCCACTTCAGCTGAGGAGGCCATTATAATCTACTTTTTTTTAGAAAGATTTTGTGTTTAATCCTTTTGGTACTGTAATTTAGCTTAATCTATAATTAAGTCTTTTTAACTTTTGTACTGGTACTGTAATAGTATTTTCTACCTGAAATATAAGACATTGCAAGTTAATAAGTTTCAACAGGCATACCACAAGTTATGCATATTTATATTACAGGCTGAAATATACATAAAATATTACTGTTTTGACTTGAAAGACCAATACCCACAACCACACACATTAACATGTGATTTTGTTAACATATTAGCGTAATGAGAAAATCCATAGGATCCATGAGGATGACTCAAACTTGTCCACTGGATACTCCCAACCACACACCTTAGACCACTACACTACGACATGATAAAAAGCAATGCAACCTGGGATTCAACTGAATCCTCTAGAGGGTTAAAACCAATATTTTTTTCACATTCTACATTCAGTACCAACATTTTAATATGTAAATACTGTATATTTCCTCTTAACTTAGGTAATTTAAGTCGGCTTTGGGTGGCTCTGGGTAGCTTTAGGAGGCTTTGGATAATGTGGAACACCCCCAATCTTGCCTACTGCATCTAAGCATGGAGACCTCACCTTTAAAAGGAAATATCCACTTTGGAGAAAGTTCAACACAGATACAAAAGTAATCGCAGAGTGAAGTCAACTCTTATATCAGGAATGAATGAGGCGCCACAGGACTAACAAACCAAACAAGACAAGGCTGATCTCAAGACCTTTAAAATACTAAACAAGTTACAGGATATTAATTTAGATCACTTTTTTTAAATAAAATGTAACACGTATATGGAGCAATGGCTTGAAGCTCAACAAGCCGAAATGCAGGACAAAAACACGAGATGGTTGTTCACCCACAGGGTTACATATCCATGGAACTGCCTACCTGTCAAACCCATAAATTCCAAGATATTACTTCAACTCATAATCCAGTTATATAAAAAATCTTCACAAACAATAAGGTTACCTTTGACAAGCTACCGGCTTCCTATCCCTATCCCCCCCCCCCACTAGAGACGTTGTGAAATGGATAAATTATAATTTCCCATTGTCAGGGCCAAGGCCTGTAAGGTTAATAGAGATCCCTTCAGGCAAACGAGCAAACCTCTCCAGAATGAACCCCGCAATAGTCATCCTGGTTATCTATTTACTACAACGTGAATTGAGGCATTAGGTACAAGGACATGTGCCTAAACGTCTCATCTTACTTAGCAATCATATATAGCAACAGAACACTTCCCACTGTGGACGTATTACAAGACGATGGTTTTCACAAGATTAAATTGTTCCAACATACGCTTGTCACCCAAGATTAATTCAACTGGCCAATACAATCTTAATCAAATGTGACATTTGATAGTGAAGGAAGCGGAAGGGTGTTAGTGTTAAATACAGGTGGTACTTGCGGGAGGGAGGAGGCAGAGCAGGAGGCAGGAGGCAGAGAGGAAGCAGGAGAACGACTGTCACGCCTGACCGTCCAGTCAGGGTCGCCCCTCTTGTTTATCCACCTCTCGTGTGTTCCAACTTCCAACCCTGGCCACTTTCTCACCACTATCCAATTCTGTCATTTTATTGGCCTCCTTTTGTATTTGTTCTACTTTAAAAGGTAGATTTTATATTGCTTATATGGTTAAACAATATAAGTGTAAATTTATGGATGGATATTTATATAATGGCTGAAGAAAGAGTCTCTCGTAAACGCATTCGGACAAAGACATCATTACACCACATTTGTCAAAAGAAGAACATAATGAAGAACAACATAATGATTAACAACGTTATGCATAATATAGAATATTAATTTCCTATATACTTGTATTTATTAACTTGAAACTTAACTTCTCCATATATGAAATATCACATTGCGAAAGAAATCAAGCAGTTGCTATGGTAACGGAAATTTGTTTACTTCGAGTTCTGTTTCCCATCCAGCAGGTGTTCCACCCCCCCCCCCTCGTCCACCAACAAGAGCCACGCGATATCTTGCTTTTTTTTTTTTTTTTTTTTTTTTTTACTAGTTGTGCTTGGAGAAGCCTTTGTACTTACCTAGTTGTGCTTGCGGGGGTTGAGCTACGGTTCTTTGGTCCCACCTTGCAACCGTTAATCTACTGGTGTACAAATTTCCTGAGCTTCTCGAGCTCTATCATATCTACATTTGAAACTGTGTATGGAGTCTGCCTCCACCACATCACTTCCTAATGCATTCCATTTACTAACTACTCTCACGCTGAAAAAGTTCTTTCTAATGTCCCTGTGGCTCATTTGGGTACTCAATTTCCACCTGTGTCCCCTTGTTTGTATACCACCCGTGTTAAATAATCCATCCATCTACCCTGTTAATTCCCAATCTGGGGTTGTAACCTACAGGGTGGGTATGGGGTGCATTAACTTAGAGAAGCCACACATCTTGTACAATTTGCCACTCCTATATAGTGACTATATATCCTTTATTAAATAGGCTATCTTGGAATCTCAGACCATTGCATTCCTTAATTAATCTACAGTTCAAAATTTGCATCAATAGTTAAGAGACAAATCCGCTCTAATAAAGTGCCACATGGAGCTAAGCCAGTTGATATAATAATAATAATAATAATAATAATAATAATAATAATAATAATAATAATAATAATAATAATAATAATAATAATAATAATAATAAGCGGGGCCGGATTACACAATAAGCCAAGTAGGCCATAGTTCAAGTTTAAGTATGTTTATTGAGACAAGAAACAATACATCTCAAAGGAATAGAGTAGCTTAATTTAGGTTATTTCTACCCCCCTCTACTTCAAGTCCCTCAAGGGGCGCACAAATTCAATGAGTACAAATCCACAAATCACAATACAAGAATCCCATTTAACATTGCAGGCTAAATCGGAAGCACAGCATATAAGTAATTACCTAAGTGTAGTTACAGGATGAGAGCTACGCTCTTGTGTTACACTCTTGGGGCAAAATTCATTCATTCATTCTCTCTCTCTCTCTCTCTCTCTCTCTCTCTCTCTCTCTCTCTCTCTCTCTCTCTCTCTCTCTCTCTCTCTCTCTCTCTCTCTCTCTCTCTCTCTCTCTCTCTCTCTCTCTCTCTCTCTCTCTCTCTCTCTCTCTCTCTCTCTCTCTCTCTCTCTCTCTCTCTCTCTCTCTCTCTCTCTCTCTCTCTCTCTCTCTCTCTCTCTCTCTCTCTCTCTCTCTCTCTCTCTCTCTCTGTCTCTCTCTCTCTCTCTCTCTCTCTCTCTCTCTCTCTCTCTCTCTCTCTCTCTCTCTCTCTCTCTCTCTCTCTCTCTCTCTCTCTCTCTCTCTCTCTCTCTCTCTCTCTCTCATTCTGGTTCTATCATTTCCAGTCTCCTTCCCTCTCATCATCCTTTCCAGTCTTCCTCCCACCCATTCTCTTTTCCAGTCTCCCTCCCACCCATTCTTTTCCAGTCTCCCTCCCACCCCATTCCACTTTCCGGTCTCCCTCCTGAAAGTTCTCCCAATAATCCTTTGCGGTTTCCCTCCCGAAATTAACATTCTGTCCCGTTTTCTGTTATGGGTCGTGTAGCAATGGTAGGAGGGGGGACTCTCCTTAATCTCTCCTACAACAGTTGACGCTGGGACGCCTTGGGGGGAGGAGCGCCGCTGAGGGAGGGGGCTGCTGGTGGTGGATGTGAAGGAGGAAGCACAACATTCCGGGGGTTGGTATAGGGCCGAGTGTGGCTTATGAGTGGGCGGCGGTCTTCAGTAAGTGTTTCCTCGCATCATTCTCATGGACAACACTGCTCTCTTGGCAGTTTTGCCTCTAGTTTTGACGGGTGTTGCCATCAGCCAGGGCTGTCAACACCAGCCTGCTGCTGGCGACCCGTGGCTCAAACACCACCAATATTTTTTGTTGTCAATATTTTAAAATTAATTGCCCATGGAAGAGCAACTTAAGTATACATGTAAACCAACATTAAATATTTGCGTTGACAACTTATAATTAATATATAAAGTTTCCTGACACTGCAATAAAGGTAATGTTGGTCTCTACCAAATAGGTTAGTAAATAGCCTGTCTGTCGTGGATTGCCTATTTAATGGTAATTAACAAGTGTTCCAATAACAACTAGTTTATTTAAATAAATAGCCATAGATAATGTTTAGCTTTTTATTGTCACTTTATGAAAAAATTTTGTGATAGCTTTCATTATTATTATTATTATTATTATTATTATTATTATTATTATTATTATTAGCATTTGTTTCTTTTATCCAAGTTTTGCACGTCACATGAGGATATAACATGAAGTGTGACACTGTAGTATTTTATTTACACTGTGTAGTAGTTGTGTATGCTATAAGTAGGAATTAAAAAAATGGCATTTCAGGTACCCAGTGTTGATGCCATCGCTAGTTTAAGGAGGGCCTCGGGACTCTGCCCAGCCTAGGTAATAATTTTAATTTAAGATATTTTCACCCTCGTAGCTTCATCAGATGTGCATGCACATGCATGCACACACATGCACCAGTTTCACTCACTGCTAAAAAGCAGACCATATTATAGAAAACTCTGCTTTTCAAGCATTTGAACACCCCGATCATCAGGATTGATAGTAATTGAGATTCTACCCACATAACTGGCATAAATATTCTGTCTCTTAATAATGGTTGGAAATGTAGAGCATCATCCATTAATTCCTGAACTTTAGAAACCTATGTATTGTACAGTATAGGTTTCTATATATAGTATTCCCAAAAGAAAGTTCATTTGGGAATACTCTTTTTCTTTTAATACTATATTACTTATTGATTTATCCCTATCTTGATCACTTATCATCGGTATCTGTGCATGGGACTTACACACCATAAACGATCTGAAGCCCATCATCACAGTGAAAGGCTTAAGGCCCCGTGCAGGAATATTCCTGGAAAAAAAAAAATTGGTGGAAGATCGGTTATTGGAACATAAAAGCATGTCGAAAAGATGCTACCTTTTCGGAGGAGTGGAACGCCTGTTTCTTCTGTTTGTCCACATTTGGGGGCGGGGAGCCAACACTTATCTACTACTTCCTCATTGTACACTTAATTCCCACTTCCATATATTTACTTATCTCTTGAATTATAAGCCTACCAATTTACTAACTTCCCAACTTTATCTTTACAAACTCAAGACTCAAATTACAATTTTAATTGTTATATTCAAACTATTTATTATTGTATATACAAATTATTTATTATCTAATTTAAATCATTCAACATTGGTATTTAATATATTTATTATTTAAAATCCCATTCCAACATTTTACTCAAACCTCTGAAAATTAATAAATTCTGTTTGCATATAACATGCAGCCCCATGTTCAAATCCCCAAACTTGCTGAACTTTCACATACTGTACTTCATTCGTTTTTTATTGTCTTTATATTTACGCAGCCCTATAATAATAATAATAATAATAATAATAATAATAATAATAATTTATTTAGGAAAGTACATGCATAGTTGCAGAGTTACAGTACAAATATTCTGTTTGATTTAAAGTTAGAGGTAGTACATACAATACCTAAAGCCACTAGTACACATAGCGTTTCGGGCAAGGTGAGGTGGGGAAAAAAACACTTAGACTAAAACTTAATAGTAATTGAGCTTAAAGTATAAATTGCATTGAAAGAAAAAAAATAAAAAAGATAAAAAAAGGGGGGAACATGGTAGAAAATAGCCAATATATAGTTGGTTAACAAACAGCATTTTTTTTTTTGTTTAAATAGTAAGACATGGGTTGACATTTAGAAGTAAGGTAGGTTACATGGAGTTAATTAGGTAGTACTTAGTTTTCATCTTAAACTTGTTGAGAGAGGTACAATCTTTGACATGATTGGGAAGGTCATTCCACATTCTGGGTCCCTTGATATGTAGAGCATTCCTAGTTTGATTAAGTCCTACTCTTGGAATATCCAATAGGTATTTGTTTCTGGTGTGGTGCCCGTGAGTTCTGTTACAACCTTCTAGGAAGCGTTGAAGGTCAGGATTGACATTACAATTCTGAGTTTTAAATATATAGAGTACACAAGAGAGGATGTGCAGTGACTTAATATCTAACATATTCAGAGATTTGAGTAAGGGTACCGAGTGCTGTCTGGGGTCAGAGTTAGATATTGTTCTAATAGCAGCTTTGTGTTGGGTAATTAGAGGGCGTAAATGATTTTGGGTAGTAGAACCCCAAGCACAAATACCATAGTTGAGATGAGGATAGATGAGAGAGTAATAGAGCGTCATCAGGGCAGGGCGAGGAACGTAATATCTGATCTTAGAAGTGTTTCTAAGTGTTTAGAAGTGTTTTGATAATGTGTTTCAAACCTTCTTGAAGAGAAGTGTAACAGAACCCGTGAACCTCACACAAAAAACAAGTACTGTATTTAATTGATATTCCGCAAGTCTAATTCAAACTTTTCTAATGTGCTCTAAATTAGTGACCTAAATTAATATGAAGCTCCTATCTTAATAAAATAAATATTATGGTAAGATATATAACTTTAAAAATTATCATGCAGGAGCATCTAATTTCCTCATTGAAGTGCACTATCATATTGATGTTATGATGCAATATGCAGTACTGTACAAAATTTCATTTACCGAGACCCTTGTCTTGGTAAATTGTTCACATATTAATTATTCACTATTGTTCATATATTGTTCAGTATTGTTTGCATATTACTGTATACAAATAAAACTCATCATAAAATGTTCATTACTGTCTCAACACCTTTCTTTAGTAGAGTACAGTATTGTATCGCGAGTGACAAAAATCATCCCAAAACCAACTCTATCATACTAGGAATGGTTGAGGACCACAGAACTAATAACACTGTTAATCAGACATGACAAAGGTGTGGATTTGGCACCTATTCTGGTATCTCTGGTTAGGTCCCTTTTGTCGCTGCTGTATTTGTTGAGTGCAGGCCCCGTTGGCTCTTCACTGGACGCTGCATCGCCAGCTTCCTTTTTATTTATTTATTTATTTATTTATTTATATACAAGAAGTTACAATGGGTTTATGAGAGTACATAGCATGATGTGTTTACATTCTTGTAAAGCCACTAGTACGCACAGCATTTCAGGCTATCTTTGAGCTTTTCAGGGATCATTTCCTGGTGCCTTCTTGTATCCACACTCAGTGTATTCATGGATGCTCCGACTCTAGGTTGGGTCTTCATGACCAACATTCTCAACTCCGACCAGGGTCGTTGGTTTCCTCCCCTTCATCAGCTGCACAATACAATATGGTGTAAGAGTTTGCGACTGTATGACATACGCTGCGGAGGATTTGGATTCCTCTGGGCTCCGTGCTCCGGCTCCATATGGACTGTTCACCCATGGTTCATTGTCTCAACTGGGGGGTTCACTTTGGTCCCATGCCCTTTGAGCTGAACACTTTGAGTAGCTCTTCTGCTGGGTTTTTGGGATGTGGTCTGTGGTTTCAGGCTCTGCTTGCTCGGTGTCCAAACTTGGACTTTTTTCTGTGGCTCCACCTCTATCAGAGGGTCGGCCCAGTGACATACTTTGCTGGTTCAACCTTCTCCTCACCTTTCCGTGTCTGTTTTCTTTACGCACCTTTATCGCCATCTTTATGGTGAGCAGGTGGTTTCTTTGATGGTGTCTCACCTGTGTTCCTCTTTTTGGCAACAATGAGGTTTTGTGGCACCCCTTACACCACTTCTTTCCCTTTATCATTGTTCATTGGTTTCTGAATGTGTGGTGCTCTTTCTTATACTGAATACTGTCGCCTCGTATTGTGTGGTACTGGCACAGCCGCTGCAGCTTGCATCGGTGTCAATACCACCTCGGCACCATTTCATGGGCCCAACACCAAAACTCCCAAACCCTCTGGTTGATGGGTTGGCGAGTTTCATGCTCTCCTCTGGAGGTGCAGTTTCTGTTTCCTTGGCACTGGTGGGCATTTTGTTTATTTGCAGCCAGCTCCTCCTTTCCTGGCAAAGAACAAATTGGTTGGCTTCCAGAGGGGTCACTTAGTTATTGACACTTGGTTAGTTTGGCCAGGAGTGCATCATATGCTGTGTCTGGTGGTAGCTCTCTGCCATTACCTTTGTGCCACCGATTCTGTTTCGGCGGATGCTTTGTGGGTTGATTCTCTTTCCTTGGTTCTCTGTTCTAAGGTTGTATATCTCAGGTCATCTGCAGTGTTAAGTTCAGCCAGCCTGCTGTCTACCCTAATGCCCATGATATTCGGAAGTATGCCACTTTCATGGCTGTGTTTGCTAATATGTCCTGGGCCGGTATTCAGGTACAGGGGTTTTGGAGGTCTAACAGGGTTCTGGTGGCCCAGTATTTGGTGAATATTCCCTAGCCTCAGTAGTCTTTGGTTGTCTCATTTGGAGGCATGTGGGGATGGGGTTTTTCTTCTTCATCCTGATTGCTGCAGTTTTCTCTCTTCCTTGGTAGGTTCCAGTGTGTGTTCCTTTTCTGTGAGTAGCTAGCTTCAGGGAGCCACAAGGCTCCCGCCCAAAAAAAACACACTGTGGAATGTAATGAAACTAAAGTTTCTGGGCTAGTACTGGTGGCTCCCTGACAAAGTTGTCAGTGAAGTTTTTTTTTCATCTGCTCCAGAAAAGACTGTTCATACCCCAGAAGATGGTGAGTGCCTCCTGAGCCATATTGGTTTCTTGACAGGGTTTTTGGTGTTTCTTTCCTCTCTTTAGGTTGCCCCTTCAGTTTGGGATATTTTTCTCAAAGCAGTGTTTTTGTTGGCTGTTGCCTCTGGCTGCAGGGTTGGGTAGCTTCATGCTCTTTTGGGTTTTGTACCTTCAGCCCTTGACAGGTTTTGTTCCTTCAGCCCTGGTGGGGGTGGCAGGTTTTGTTCCCTCATCCCTGGTGGGGGTGGCAGGTTTTGTTCCTTCATCACTGGTGGGGGTGGCAGGTTTTGTTCCCTCATCCCTGGTGGGGGTGGCAGGTTTTGTTCCTTCATCACTGGTGGGGGTGGCAGGTTTTGTTCCCTCATCCCTGGTGGGGGTGGCAGGTTTTGTTCCTTCATCACTGGTGGGGGTGGCAGGTTTTGTTCCCTCATCCCTGGTGGGGGTGGCAGGTTTTGTTCCTTCATAACTGGTGGGGGTGGCAGGTTTTGTTCCTTCACCCCTGGTGGGGGTGGCAGGTTTTGTTCCCTCATCCCTGGTGGGGGTGGCAGGTTTTGTTCCTTCATCCCTGGTGGGGGTGGCAGGTTTTGTTCCCTCATCCCTGGTGGGGGGTGGCAGGTTTTGTTCCTTCATCACTGGTGGGGGTGGCAGGTTTTGTTCCTTCAGCCCTGGTGGGGGTGGCAGGTTTTGTTCCCTCATCCCTGGTGGGGGTGGCAGGTTTTGTTCCTTCATCACTGGTGGGGGTGGCAGGTTTTGTTCCTTCATCCCTGGTGGAGGTGGCAGGTTTTGTTCCTTCATCACTGGTGGGGGTGGCAGGTTTTGTTCCTTCATCACTGGTGGGGGTGGCAGGTTTTGTTCCCTCATCCCTGGTGGGGGTGGCAGGTTTTGTTCCTTCATCACTGGTGGGGGTGGCAGGTTTTGTTCCTTCAGCCCTGGTGGGGGTGGCAGGTTTTGTTCCCTCATCCCTGGTGGGGGTGGCAGGTTTTGTTCCTTCATCACTGGTGGGGGTGGCAGGTTTTGTTCCTTCATCCCTGGTGGAGGTGGCAGGTTTTGTTCCTTCATCACTGGTGGGGGTGGCAGGTTTTGTTCCTTCATCACTGGTGGGGGTGGCAGGTTTTGTTCCTTCATCACTGGTGGAGGTGGCAGGTTTTGTTCCTTCATCACTGGTGGGGGTGGCAGGTTTTGTTCCTTCATCCCTGGTGGAGGTGGCAGGTTTTGTTCCTTCATCACTGGTGGGGGTGGCAGGTTTTGTTCCTTCATCACTGGTGGGGGTGGCAGGTTTTGTTCCTTCAGCCCTGGTGGGGGTGGCAGGTTTTGTTCCCTCATCCCTGGTGGGGGTGGCAGGTTTTGTTCCTTCATCACTGGTGGGGGTGGCAGGTTTTGTTCCTTCATCCCTGGTGGAGGTGGCAGGTTTTGTTCCTTCATCCCTGGTGGGGGTGGCAGGTTTTGTTCCTTCATCACTGGTGGGGGTGGCAGGTTTTGTTCCTTCATCACTGGTGGGGGTGGCAGGTTTTGTTCCCTCATCCCTGGTGGAGGTGGCAGGTTTTGTTCCTTCATCACTGGTGGGGGTGGCAGGTTTTGTTCCTTCATCCCTGGTGGAGGTGGCAGGTTTTGTTCCTTCATCACTGGTGGGGGTGGCAGGTTTTGTTCCTTCATCCCTGGTGGGGGTGGCAGGTTTTGTTCCTTCATCCCTGGTGGAGGTGGCAGGTTTTGTTCCTTCATCACTGGTGGGGGTGGCAGGTTTTGTTCCTTCAGCCCTGGTGGGGGTGGCAGGTTTTGTTCCTTCATCCCTGGTGGAGGTGGCAGGTTTTGTTCCCTCATCCCTGGTGGGGGTGGCAGGTTTTGTTCCCTCATCCCTGGTGGGGGTGGCAGGTTTTGTTCCCTCATCCCTGGTGGGGGTGGCAGGTTTTGTTCCTTCATCCCTGGTGGGGGTGGCAGGTTTTGTTCCCTCATCTCTGGTGGGGGTGGCAGGTTTTGTTCCTTCATCACTGGTGGGGGTGGCAGGTTTTGTTCCTTCAGCCCTGGTGGGGGTGGCAGGTTTTGTTCCCTCATCCCTGGTGGGGGTGGCAGGTTTTGTTCCCTCATCCCTGGTGGGGGTGGCAGGTTTTGTTCCTTCATCCCTGGTGGGGGTGGCAGGTTTTGTTCCCTCATCCCTGGTGGGGGTGGCAGGTTTTGTTCCTTCATCACTGGTGGGGGTGGCAGGTTTTGTTCCTTCAGCCCTGGTGGGGGTGGCAGGTTTTGTTCCTTCATCCCTGGTGGGGGTGGCAGGTTTTGTTCCTTCATCCCTGGTGGGGGTGGCAGGTTTTGTTCCTTCATCACTGGTGGGGGTGGCAGGTTTTGTTCCTTCAGCCCTGGTGGGGGTGGCAGGTTTTGTTCCCTCATCCCTGGTGGGGGTGGCAGGTTTTGTTCCTTCATCCCTGGTGGAGGTGGCAGGTTTTGTTCCTTCAGCCCTGGTGGGGGTGACAGGTTTTGTTCCTTCAGCCCTGGTCTAGGTGACAGGTTTTGTTCCTTCATCCCTGGTGGGGGTGGCAGGTTTTGTTCCTTCAGCCCTGGTGGGGGTGACAGGTTTTGTTCCTTCAGCCCTGGTGGAGGTGGCAGGTTTTGTTCCTTCATCCCTGGTGGAGGTGGCAGGTTTTGTTCCTTCAGCCCTGGTGGGGGTGGCAGGTTTTGTTCCTTCATCCCTGGTGGAGGTGACAGGTTTTGTTCCTTCAGCCCTGGTCTAGGTGACAGGTTTTGTTCCTTCATCCCTGGTGGGGGTGGCAGGTTTTGTTCCTTCAGCCCTGGTGGGGGTGACAGGTTTTGTTCCTTCAGCCCTGGTGGGGGTGGCAGGTTTTGTTCCCTCATCCCTGGTGGAGGTGGCAGGTTTTGTTCCTTCAGCCCTGGTGGGGGTGGCAGGTTTTGTTCCTTCAGCCCTGGTGGGGGTGGCAGGTTTTGTTCCTTCATCACTGGTGGAGGTGGCAGGTTTTGTTCCTTCAGCCCTGGTGGGGGTGGCAGGTTTTGTTCCTTCAGCCCTGGTGGGGGTGGCAGGTTTTGTTCCTTCATCCCTGGTGGGGGTGGCAGGTTTTGTTCCCTCATCCCTGGTGGGGGTGGCAGGTTTTGTTCCTTCATCACTGGTGGAGGTGACAGGTTTTGTTCCTTCAGCCCTGGTGGAGGTGGCAGGTTTTGTTCCTTCAGCCCTGGTGGGGGTGGCAGGTTTTGTTCCTTCAGCCCTGGTGGGGGTGGCAGGTTTTGTTCCTTCAGCCCTGGTGGGGGTGGCAGGTTTTGTTCCTTCATCACTGGTGGGGGTGGCAGGTTTTGTTCCTTCAGCCCTGGTGGGGGTGGCAGGTTTTGTTCCTTCAGCCCTGGTGGGGGTGGCAGGTTTTGTTCCTTCAGCCCTGGTGGGGGTGGCAGGTTTTGTTCCTTCAGCCCTGGTGGGGGTGGCAGGTTTTGTTCCTTCAGCCCTGGTGGGGGTGGCAGGTTTTGTTCCTTCATCACTGGTGGGGGTGGCAGGTTTTGTTCCTTCATCACTGGTGGAGGTGGCAGGTTTTGTTCCCTCATCCCTGGTGGGGGTGGCAGGTTTTGTTCCTTCAGCCCTGGTGGGGGTGGCAGGTTTTGTTCCTTCATCACTGGTGGGGGTGGCAGGTTTTGTTCCCTCATCCCTGGTGGGGGTGGCAGGTTTTGTTCCTTCATCACTGGTGGGGGTGGCAGGTTTTGTTCCTTCAGCCCTGGTGGGGGTGGCAGGTTTTGTTCCTTCAGCCCTGGTGGGGGTGGCAGGTTTTGTTCCTTCAGCCCTGGTGGGGGTGGCAGGTTTTGTTCCTTCAGCCCTGGTGGGGGTGGCAGGTTTTGTTCCTTCAGCCCTGGTGGGGGTGGCAGGTTTTGTTCCCTCAGCCCTGGTGAAGGTGGCAGGTTTTGTTCCTTCATCCCTGGTGGGGGTGGCAGGTTTTGTTCCTTCATCCCTGGTGGAGGTGGCAGGTTTTGTTCCTTCAGCCCTGGTGGCCGTTTGCTCATCTAGTGTGTTTTCGTTCTTTTATGACAGATAATGAGTTAGCTGGTTTCCGAAGGGGTTCTTTGGTGATTGATGCATGGTTGGTTTGCCTGGAGGAGCATCATTTGTTGCATCCTGTGGTGGCACTTCACTGCTACCTATGTGCCACAGATTTTGCCATGGTTGATGCCCTGTTGGTTGATCCTGTTTACTTGGTCCCCTGTTCCAAGACTCATATTTCTCAGGTTATCAACAGTGTCATCAAAACAAGCTGTGGTATACTCTCGGACCCATGATGTTCGTAAGCATGGTTCTTAAATCAGTTGTTTGTGAAGTTGTTTGGCTGTTTCAATGCTTTGTTTTGTGAACCTTGCAGTTATCTATAAAGCTTCATTAACTTTCTGAATGCTTTCTCGGTGAGGGCACTGATAACAGTTGCATGCACTCTGTTCCTCTGTGAAGGGGCCAAGTTCTGGCTCTGGTCCGCAGAATGCCACACACAAACTCCTTCGACTGATGTGACCCAGTAGTGAAGAGGCATTTCAGCGAGATAGATTCAGAGAACCACCTCGGTTCTATCAGAAATAGGTGTTTAATTATATTCAATGCTGGTTTGTGTGTGTTTGAAGATTCTCTTGCCTTTGTATTTACCGGTGGGGGCGCATGTCTTTCTGTATAACAAATCATTCTGTAATATTGGGAGCTTTGTGTAACATAGTTATCCTTGTACTTAAAGCTCTGTATGCCTTCATGTAGTTCAGGGTGACCACAAAACAGATGTTTGTTAACAAAACAAAATTATCAGAAGTTATTTGGGAATAATCTGAATATTGAATCATTACCTAGTGTAAATATTGTGGATAAATTGGATACAGAATACAAAAATATCACTGAACTCTTTTTACATTATCTTTAATGTAATATTTCCACGGTCCTAACTAGTATTAAATGTTTTTCAGGTAGAATCTTTAGGAAGTTTGGAATATGATGAAGTAACTGATATCTCTGAGGACTCTCAACCATTGCAGCTTGCTTCATACAACAGGCTTGGACAGGGTGAGAGTGCAAAACCAACTCCACTACTTGTTGCACTTCCTGTAAGTCATTCTTGAAAATTTTCCTGAATATACATATTTAACTAATTTCCTGGTAAGCCACTCTGTAGCTTTCTGGCACTAATTGCCTGGATAGCTCTACATGTATTATGCCCCATGCCTCAAATAGGCACAGAAGGCTAGAGATACTAGATCAGTGATGACCAAGAGGAAATGCCACGAAAATGGTAGAGTGCATCAAAGCAGAGAACTGGAAGGAAAATATAAGCTAACTGGACAACTATGAAGGCAATAGTTAGCTTGTTAGCATTGCTAGTTAAACCCTCCTACTACCAGTTCATGACTCTGGAAGTTTGGGGATTGACCAGCAAATACAGTCATGTGCCTGGTGTGGTGGTGGTTGATTAAGGGGTGACAAAGATCGAGGTATCGGATGCACCCCGGCTGCCCGATACCGGGAAATTGCAAAGAGATGGGATCCCTACAGCCTCTTCAGTCAATGGACGTGTCCAATAAAGCAAAAGGTATAGCGAAGGATGTCATAACGGATGTTTTCATTTCTCGTTCCTGTGCCGTCAAGGAGAACGGGAACCGTGAGGTGAGGAATATGCAACCTATGGACAGCACTCTGTAGTCTGACGTGAGCACTATAAAACTGTGGGCAGAGTAGCTGGTGTAGTTCCATGCAGTACTACTCATCATGTCTCCACCTCCTGGGTCATGGTTTTATCTAGATAAATGTTGGCTATGCTTTGAACTCTGTTGTGGAAGAGCATGTGCTTGTCTTTTGTTATAATTTCTAGAGGGGTCAAATTGTGGCTTCTTGAAGCTAGCTCACTGAAGTAGCTCCACACTACCGAGTCTCGTCCATCTTAGTCTTGTATGGTCTACCGGGGACCAGAGCCAGAACCTGGCTTCCCCTCACAGAGGCACAGGGAGCACAAGATTGATACTCTTTGGATGTTTTCTTGGTGAAGGTTAAGTGAAGCGATATAGGCAACTGCAAGGTTCACAGAAAGCAAAACACTGAAACGGCTAAATGATTTCCTCAGAAACTAGGTCAGGGAGTAGTTTGGCCTTCTCATGGGGTAGCCCCATCCACATCACCAGTGGAGGCAGTTGAGCCGTCTGGTCATGCCGAGGTTTGTGGCAATCGTCTTTGCAACTGCCTCCCCCCCTCATCCCCACCTACCCCTGGGCTTTTGTGGAAGGCTTCTGGGGCTGAGGGAATCCTTGGGTGCCCTTCAACCTTTCTTAGATCTCGTTTCTCACTCCCGAGGGTTTTTTCCTTTAGTGAGATAATTTTTCATATCCTCCTCCCATGTAAGAGTATAATTATTCAAGTGCTTCCCCTCGGGTTCGGTTTCTGTTCAGAATCGTCATATTTCTGGTACAGTAGTTTCCATCTTCCCATGTTTTCCATTCAGGGGCTCATGCAGATTTGTTTCAGTACCTCCTGTGGAATTTGAACTTCTTTTTGTTAATAGATCCAGCCTCTTTGGAGTATGAGTCCATTTTTGCTTATTGGCTGTGTGAGGTTGCAGATTTATCCTGGCTGGCTGATATTCCCTTATTTTCATTGGGGGGCTTGGCAAAGGGTCAGTCGGATTTGCACGCTTGATTACTGGGAGTGTATTCCATCTTTCAGGTGGTCTTTGGTAGTGCTTCTTATGCCTCACTTGGGGACTGCCTGTTTGCTCTGGCACTCCACAGGGACGTGGGAAAGTAACAGCACCATGTATGTATGGCCTGTGCTGTCTGGAGATCTTATTGTGAGTGACTTAAAGGATTGATTGATTGATGAAGATTAAGCCACCCAAAAAGTGGCACGGGCATGAATAGCCCGTAAGTGGTTGCCCTTTTGAGCCATTACCAGTATCAATAGATGATACTGGAGATCTGTGGAGGTGCGACTGCACCCTGCGTGACGGGAGGTGTCTCCCGTCACGTGACTTAAAGGTGTATTTATACTTAGTGGTAGTCCTGTGGGTTTGTGTCCTCATGCAGGGGCCTCTCTGGCCAACATTGCGAGGATGTGACTTTTCTTGGTACTACCTCAGGTATGGAGGCTTTCAAGTCTGCGGTTCATGTCTTGGCGGCCATGCCCAAAATACTCACCTCTCCTCCAGGACGTGGTGGCAGCATTTTACTAGTCCTACTTCACATGTCAAAAGGCCATATTGGCCCATTCATAAGATTTGGCTTGGCTCCTTTTCAATTTGTCCACCTCCTCTTTCTTGCTTGTCCTCTTTTTCCAAAGGATGCAGTGTCCCAAGTTGTGTCTGTGGAGACTTAATGGCCTATTTACCACTTGTTCAGGGTTCTGCCTGTCTCGGAGGTGGTCTGGTAGGGTTGAGACCTTTCCTGCTGTTGGTTGAGGTAAGCCCTCAGGAAAGTCAGATTTCCAGGCTGTTGCACTTCCTGTTGCAAAACAGAGCAAACGAACAGCTCTCAAGTAGTTTCAAAGCATTATACGACAAGGAGTACTGGGAAGACGGGACATCACAAGCGTGGCTCTCATCCTATAACCACACTTAGGTAATTACACTTGGGTAATTACAAAAGAAGCACCCCCAAAAACACCTGAAAGATGTAATCAACTTTCCAGCTTTGGCAAAAGCCATGCCAAGCCTCCAAGGAAAACAGGATTGTCAGCAAGCCTTGATGAATCGGGAGCCTCGTACCAAAACCAAAAGATGAAGCTGACCTGGACTCAAAGGAGGTCGGGTTCATAAGGAAAACAAGGTCCTGATTTTTCAGGAACCAAAAGAGGACCGTTTGAGCCAAAGAAGGCAATACAATGGAATCCTCCAGAAATAAAACACGACTGAGGAAAAGGATGTGGATGCGTACCCAAGATGGGAATAACCGAGGAATCCAGTTTCAACATGGATGGAAGTTAAGTAAATAATTCATTGTAATTAATTATTACAATGAATTATGGTGAATCATGATAAAACCTGGTGAACCACCCCTTTTGGGGCTGGGAAAGGAGGGGCACACTTGGAACAGGTGGAATTCACCAACCCCTTCAATACTGAGTCCTTAAACACTATAGGGTTCAACTTCAGTTGAATCCACTGGATTCATCATCCACTGGAGCATTAAGCTGGATACTACTAATACAATCAAAACTATCCTGCAGAGCATCTACTGTCTGATAAGATCCCTGTCTTGAGTCAGGCTGAACTGAAGTAGAGACCCAACAAATACAAATGCAGGCCTCAGGATGGAGGGTATCACCCACACAGCATGTAGTCATGGTGGGTAGTGAGTGGACTCGTATCAAACTCATAAGTAGCAAGTGCAAGCTTTGTAAGCTGATCTACAGTAAACCATGCCAAAGACCCATGGTGGGGAAGGGGCTTACCAGGGCCTGAAGGAATACCCAAGCAGTACACCCAGGCACTAGGGACATGCATCGCAGGAACCAACGCTGAATGAAGACCTGAAGCTGAACGGCTGCAGGGGGCATCAACGGCCTACCATATATACAAGCACACAAAAACTAGTGCTTCCCACAGCAAAGCCCTGAATGCTCCCAATCACAAGGCCTTGCAGAAGAATCAGAGACCCTTATACTACACATGATGAGGCACCCTACACAATAATATGGTTTCTCAGAGGCAAACTCCTGAACTCATCACAGAAGTCGCTGTCAGAGCACTGAAACAAACACCTTGGGAAGGGAAGCCCCTAAACACATGCAGCTCAAGGCAAGGAAAAGACTAAGTCCATGCAGAAAGTGAGGTTTGAAACATGATTGTGAAGCAATTGCAGTATTAAAGGCAGGAATGACACAAACAAATGACCCCCACGAGACAAAGGTTGGCCTACACTTTTCTTAGAAAAACCTGTACTGTACTCGTTAAAGCTGGCGACTCGAGCAAACCACATGCATTATTCTTGAATAAATGTTAGAATTAACCTTTCATTCCTCATTTTTCAGAAAATTATAAGATGCTGAACAAATATATGCTTAATATTTGTTATTTTAGGTATATGAAATGGCATACCTCCTGAATTTAACACTTGTTTTACGTTATTGTCCAACCCATCCCCTGTTCAAAAGGTAAAACCAAAAAGCACCTAATTTCATCCTCATAGTTTCCTACCTTGTGCTTCAAACTCGTACTGTATCTTGTACTACCCACTTCCCCAATATTGGTACTCAAGACATATATCTTTACCAGTGTAATCACCCTTGTTAACTTACATTGTAGTTATTTGTTGATATAAAACCCTTGCTACAATGTACTTTTTCAGCTTACCTGATATGTTAGATTAAGGACCTACCCGAAATGCTGTGTGTGTTAGTGGCTTTGCATGAATGTAAAATACCAGTCACCAATATTCCCACCAACCCATTATACCTTCTTGCAAATAAAAATTATTACCATATTATTATGTACTCAATACATATATTAAGATTTCTTAATATATTTAAAATTTTTGCTTCTAGGGCCACATCTTGGAGAGAAATCTTTCATCATTTCATCAAGAATCATATAAGAAGATATTTGCATCATCAAGTGCTCCTGCTGTTGCACATAAAGTAACAATGGCTACAGAGGAAAATAATGAATTTGACTCAGAATTGAAATCAAATGTGAGTTAATATCTTTGTCTATTTTATAGGGGGGGGGGGTTGCTCCCTTCAGTGGTTTCCTGACTTACTCCCCTTGGATCCTCCAAACCTTGGATACCACAACCAAGTTCTAAGGTTCATGACACCTTCTGGAGATCAGGGGCAGAATCTGACCTCAATAGAGGCAAGGAATGTGTGTGGGGATACTAGATCACCATAGTACCTTACCTTATCTTGCGATGATTTTGGGGCTCAGCGTCCCCACGGCCCGGTCCCTGACCAGGGCTCTTTGTTGCTAGTAATCTGAAGAAAAAACACCAGAAAGGTAGAGCCAAACAAAACAAGCAACTGTATGGACAAGAGTGATAATCTTGAGTGATCTGTGTACACACTTGTTACCTAGGTCCAAATGCTTGTTAGCAACACTTAACACCAGATGACAACCCAAGCCACCTGTGGGTGCCAACCAACTAACATAGTTACTCTCACTCCTGTTGTTCTAGGTACTTTACTGCTCTTTGAGCTTTTTCCTCAGCTAAGTTTGGCCTTTCTGTAGGATTCTTGTCATGTACAGGAGCCTGTGCGTGTGTTTGTTCCTTTTTAAAGTTTTAGATGTGTGTATTTTGGTCTTCCTGTTATTTATGCCATGATTCACATTTCACAGCAGCTGCATGTTATTAGCACCTTCTAGCTGCCACTGGTATTGCCCCTGCCTTCTGTCCAGGTTTTCTTTGCTGAGAGGGGTTCAGGAGTCTGTCCCTTGGGGTTTCTTTTTTTTCGAGGGGCCTCACCCTTGCTAGTGCACGTGCTTCAGTTCATCTGCAGGTCCTAGAGGTTGGATTGGGCTGGTTTGTGTCTTCTTGGATCGTTGAACCCATGGTCCCCACAGAGCCTATGCTGCTTTCTTCCATTTTGGTGGATCCTGTGGAATCTTATAGGGTCCCGGTAGTACAGTTGGGTTCGTTCTCGCCACAACGTCTAGAATTCTGGGATTAAATCCCGGGTGGGACAGAAATGGTTGGGCACATTTCTTTTCACCTAATGCTCCTGTTCACCTAGCAGTAAGTAGGTACTCAGGAGTTAGTCAGCTTATTGTGGCATTGCATTATGGGCAGGGGCAGCAATTCAACCTTGGCGGGGGGGATGGGGGGGACCTTCAAATAAGCTTAACGAATATGAATACACACTAGCTTCCTGTCCCCCTGACATAATGAATTATAATTATTATTATGTTATGACATTTTCCTCTAGGGGGGGATGCCTTTCTGTCTTCACATGCATCTGGCAAGGATCTGAGTTGTGTCCTGTGACCATTTTGAGTATAATGGTGTTGAGATCTTGGGTGTTGTGAAGAGGCTCGGAATGGGTCCTCAGTGGCTCCTAAATGAGTATTTCCAGTTTCCAGTAAATGCCACGGATTTGCCTCTTACTTTTTTGCAGGTTCCCGTTGGAGGACCGAGAGTATTCCTCAGTGGATGGATCCTGCATCTTTCAAGTTTAGGTCTTTTTCTATGGGGAGCCCAGTCGGCTCCCTGGAGATATCTTACTGATTAAGTGCCACACTATTTGAGTGTCATCAGTTGTGGTGTTCTTGTTGTCTACCGGGGCCCATGAATTACAACCTGGCCCCCATCAGTGAGGCACAAGGAGCAATGGCCCATGAACACTTTTCCATTGACCAGGGAGGGCACCCAGAAAGGTAGGGTATCAAAATAAACCACTGCATAGTTTAAGACTGGACCTTAACCCATGAAATGTCAAAAGAACTCCCATTAAAAAAAATAATAATAAAATAAAAAAACATCCTCGTCAAACCACCTCCCTGCTAATTAGCTCCACCTCCCCCATTGTTGGGGGGAGGAGGGAATTGGCTCAGGTGTCACCGGTCAGTTCTTGACCAATGTAGTGTGTCGGTGTCGCTCTGGATCTGCGGTCCCATTTTCTTTGGTATTTTCGGTAACGTGTCATAGGCTGATATGCAGGCACAGACGTTTTTGAGGTCTTATAGGGTTTTGGCTGCCAGGTATGTTTGTCACCATTTCTGGTCCTCCGTGGCCTTGTGATACTTTGGTACCTCTGTTGCGGCTGTCAGTCTTGTCTTCGACTTCACATCTGCGGTGCTTCTGCTTCCCTGGTAAGTTCCCCTATTTTTGTCCTTTTCTGTAGATAGTTAGCTCCAGGGAGCCAATGGGGCTCCCCACAGAGAACCAGCATTGAATATAATGAAATACCAGTTTCTGGGTCTTTTTCTATGGCCCTGAGGCTTCCCAACACCCTCCCTCCCTCCCTCCCCCTGGTTGGAGGTTTTACATCATTCTAAAACTGACCAATGTCGATCCGGCTGACTGGGCAGGCTCCCTCCTTCCCACAATGAGGTGGGGACGTGGAGCTAACTAGCGGGGCGCTTGTTTGATGATACACCTACCTTTCTGGGTGCCTTCCTTGGTCGATGGTAAAGATAATAAACTTTAAATGTAAAGTGTTTATGGGTTATTGGTCCTTGTGCCTCGCTGAGGGAGCCAGGTTCTGGCTCGTGGTCCCCGGTAGGCATCAAGAACTCTACGACTGATGACACTGAAGTAGTGTGGCACTTAATCAGTAAGTTAGCTGCAGGGAGCCTCTTGGGCTCACCCAGGAACTCACATTTTATTACATTCAACACTGGGTTTTTCTGTTTTGGTTGTGGTTTTAAGGTTTTGGTCTTTTCTTGGCTTGCAGACAATCCCCTGTTCTCTTTGGGGCTGTGGTGCACTTTCTGCCATCCCTGAGTACTCAGGTGTCATGAGGTGGTGTCAGTGTTTCTGGTTTTACTGGTTGGTTCCTGTTGCAGTAATTGATGCTATTGTTTTTATGCTGACCTTACCTCATAATGTGGAGGTAGACTGAAAAATTTGAGGGGCTAGAGACGAGGCATCACCGAGGTTGACTAAAAAAAAAAATGGTGCCAATGACAAATCATCTCAAAAAGCAAAATGGTTTGTCATTGGCCCAGTTTACACCACTACATACACTACAGTACAGACCAACCTGTACTGTAGAAATATATCCTTTCTTAAAATTTAAAGAATTATCACAATGCGTTTAATACAAAATATAGTTGCTTACATTAGTTTTGTAAAAACTCGCGAGGAACAAGACACATTTTTGGTGAAATCTTTGTGAATAAAATAGGTAGCCTTGAAGTAGCTGTGGAGTTGTGGCAAGTTCAAATAAATAAATAAATAAGTAAATTAAGTAAATAAATAAATAAATATATACTGTATATATAAAATAATAATAATAATAATAATAATTAATAAAAATCCATGAGAAGGAATACATAGCAAGATGGTATTTTACTGTTTTGACTGATTAGCATTGTTTACTGAACATGTAGTCTACCCCTCTCTGGTTATCTGTACAAATATTTTTGTTGTATATTTTCACATTCATTTTCTTTATTCAAATGCTTTGGGATGAAACACTCTGTAACTGTTTCTTTGGCATGAACAAAACGGTTTGAAGCTCAACAAGCCACAATGTAGGGCAGAGAACAGGAGATGCTTTTTCACCTGCAGGGTTATAAACCCATGGAACTGCCTACCCGATAAAGTTGTAACTGCCAAAACTGTGTTAAGTTTTAAAATCTGCCTGGAAATGATCTTGATTCTTGAGGTTATCTTGAGATGATTTCGGGGCTTTAGTGTCCCCGCGGCCCGGTCCTCGACCAGGCCTCCACTCCCAGGAAGCAGCCCGTGACAGCTGACTAACTCCCAGGTACCTATTTACTGCTAGGTAACAGGGGCATAGGATGAAAGAAACTCTGCCCATTGTTTCTCGCCGGCGCCTGGGATCGAACCCAGGACCACAGGATCACAAGTCCAGTGTGCTGTCCGCTCGGCCGACCGGCTCCACCAAAGCAAATGGAGGGGACTTTCGATAAGTTGCCAGCTTCCTGTCCTCGTTGACCCCACTATGGTTACTGGCCCTCAGGTAAATCAGGTATGTATATATATATAAAAAAATAATGAACGTGAGCACAAATGTGACATACCAAAACTCTGTACACTGAATATTATTTGAGTATCTGGTTAAAATTGTCTTGCTTTTGTGGCTACTTTTTTCTTGCCATTATATAGAATACACATGCTAAACAAGATTATATAATAATTAACTCACAGTTAGGTACTGAGTATTTATTATTTACTGGTGCCTTAAGCAGTGAGATTAAAGTAAATTAGAAATTTTGTTTTATTGGTATATTTCTGGAGGGGAGTCCCTGAAGCTATCTTGCCAAGGTGGCTCCCAACTACAGTACTGTACTGTACTAGATTGCAGTATCCATGGAGTTCTATTCAGCCTACCAGGGACCAGCGCCAGAGCCTGGCCCCTGTCACAGAGGCATGGGGGGAGGTGGGGGCAGGTGATACTTCATCACCTCACTAGGGAGGGCACACAGGAAGTCAGCAATCCAGTACAAACCACTGGTATATTATCCAGTGGACAGCATGAACCCTCTTCCCCCTTCCCCACCTCTTCAGAGTGGGAAGGGTGGGACAAACGAGTGCACACTTGTGTCGAGAGATTCTATCGTTTGGCATGTTCACTCGCCAGGTTGTGAGGCTTCAGTCTTTTTGAACCCAGAAGTGGTCTGTATTGATTTACTGACTTTCTGGGTGCCTTCCCTGGTGAGATGGTAGAGTATCATCTGCTGTGTGTATATCTGTGAGGGGGGGCCAGGTTCTGGCGCTGGTCTGAATAGAACTCGTGGCTGATACGGTAGTAGTTAGAGCCATCTTAGCCACTGGGACTCGCTCAGAAATTAATGTTTTATCACATTCAACATGGGGTTTAAGCCTCTTTTGAATAGCATTATATGTAATACTGAATAGAATCTTATACTCTACTTATATTTTAAGAAAAATACAAAATATAAGTTGCTAAAGATAAGTTTGTGGTAGTGTTACCCCAAACTCTGGAGACCTTGACACGTTGGCACATTATGTCCGCAGGTGGGCGAGACCATTCCCTCAGCATTTCAAGATGGTCACTCACAGCCTCCTTCTACTAGTCTTGGTGATAGTGGAGGAGTGATGGGAGAGACAGGGGAGGAGGGAGCTATGGATGAATTATTGGAGAATGCCGATGATTTTCCTCCAGGTCCCTCCCATGCTCCTCCTCCCCCTCATCTTGCTCCTACCTCCCCCCTTCCACAAGACCATCCACGCTACCATATGGGGGGATCTCAAGGTGATGAAACAGATGATGACGGCATGGCAGAAGCAGCTGTAAGAAATTTCTGTTCGTTGGAGTGACTGACTATAAGTGTAAGCTTGTGCTTTCATCACATATTTGCTGCATGAAACTTTATTTCTGCCTTTCTTGTGGTGACCATTATTGCACTAGTATTAGGCACAATCTAAAGGTAAGTATATTTTAAATAAATTAATCTAAAGTGAAATGAGAAAATAAATTTTATATAATTATTAGAACGTCTTTAAATACCGTAGTTATACTTGATAATTAGACTCTTGATTGTGCTATATTATATAAATATGTTGTACTGTACATACATTTTTGCTGTCTGTCTATTTGCCTTAAATGAATGCACTCAAGTGATCGCTATACCTTGCTTCTTTATGCCACTGACCAATTTGAAAGTTAATGCATGGCATTCACCTTAGTATAGATGGAGGCTTTTTAAAGTACCTTGGTATTATGAGACATTAAATTATCTTTTAAAATGTATCAGTCTAACATATACAGTACAGTGGTACCTCCATTGAGGTTATCTTGAGGTGATTTCGGGGCTTTAGTGTCCCCATGGCCCAGTCCTCGACCTGGCCTCCACCCCCAGGAAGCAGCCCGAGACAGCTGACTAACACCCAGGTACCTATTTTACTGCTAGGTAACAGGGGCATAGGGTGAAAGAAACTCTGCCCAATGTTTCTCGCCGGCGCCTGGGATCGAACCAAGGACCACAGGATCACAAATCCAGCGTGCTATCTGCTCGGCCGACCGGCTCCCTGGTACCTCCATTTACGAATTTAATCCGTTCCCAGAGACGGGTAGTAATTCGAAAATTTGAAACTTGAAACAAATTTTCCCATAAGAAATAATATAAATTGAATTAATCAGTTCCACACTCCCCAAAATATTAACGTCAAAATACATTTCATACATAAAACATTCACATAATATTTTGTACTATAGTATGTAAAAGTTATAGCTTACCTTTATTGATGACTCTTGTTGGCGTATAGAAGGCAGTGAGGAGGAGGAGGAGGAGAGGTGTTAGTGTTTGGAAGAAGGGTCCGCTTCTGTTATAACATCAGGCAGTGATGACTTCTCTGGGCTACTCTCTCTTCCATGTTTTGCCTGCATACCACTAGGACCTGGTTGTGGCTCACTGCTTGTTTTGCTCACTAAGAACCTTTCCATAGAGAAAGGTTGTTTTTCCACTTGTTTTTCCCTATGTTATTGGGAAAGCTTGTTTTTCCTATGTTTTTCCATATAAAAGATGTATTGATATGCCTTTTGCCACTTTAACACTCATAATGTTCTTTTTCTTGGCAAGTACAGTGGATGTCATTGACATAGATTTGTTGTACTGCCTAGCTAGATCAACAGCCCACACACCATCTTCATGTTAATGAATGATCTCTTGTTTTTCCTCTATGCCATCCTCACATGTGTTTTCTTGGGTTGAACCTTACCACTGACTTTCTTGAGACCCAAGGCATGATATATAATAATTACTATTATGTTCAAAAAACAAAAAAGCACAAAAACAATGAAATTCTTTACAAAGAATTCAAGCGCGATCATCACCATGTCAGTGGTCTGGTAAACTGAAGCGGGGTTGCCCGTGCCACCAGGAACCATGAGCTCTGTCGACTCGTACATGTATCAACAAAGTTGCAAGTCGAGGCGAAGGTCGTAAGTCGAGTCGAATTTTCTGATGAAATTGGGGTCGTAACTCAAAAGAATTTGTATGTAGGAGCATTCGTAAGTCAAGGTTCCACTGTATTATATAATAATTTAATATTTTTATTACTTATTGTGAACTGTATGCAAAAGGATTAGTCATGGTTAGTTAGGCATGGAGATAGCACCACTTCATAAAGGAGGAAATAAGGCAGAGGCAAAAAATTACAGACCGATAGCGCTAACATCGCACATCATAAAAATTTTTGAGAGAGTGCTAAGAAGTAAAATCACAAAATACATGGAATCACAGCAACTCCATAACCCCGGACAACATGGTTTCAGAACAGGGCGCTCTTGCCTGTCGCAGTTGCTGGACCACTATGATATGGCATTAGATGCTATGGAAGACAAACATAACGCGGATGTAATTTACACAGATTTCGCAAAAGCTTTTGATAAATGTGACCATGGTGTTATTGTACATAAAATGCGTTCAAAAGGAATTACCGGAAAAATAGGCAGATGGATCTACAATTTCCTGATCAACAGAACCCAATGTGTAATAGTCAACAAAATAAAATCCAGCCCATCAACCGTGAAGAGCTCAGTCCCCCAGGGTACTGTGCTTGCTCCAGTACTTTTTCTCATCCTCATTTCGGACATAGACAAGAACACAACCTATAGCACTGTATCATCCTTTGCAGATGACACTAGGATCTTCATGAGAGTAGGCAACATAGAGGACACGGCGAACCTCCAGTCAGATGTAGATCAGGTCTTTCTATGGGCTACAGAAAATAATATGGTGTTTAACGAAGATAAGTTCCAGCTCATGCGCTATGGAAAAAATGAAAATATAAAAACGGAAACCACGTACAAAACTCAGGCAAATCATAACATAGAACGAAAAGGCAATGTAAAGGATCTGGGTGTACTCATGTCGGAAGACCTTACCTTTAAAGAACACAATAAAGTAGCCGTCACAACTGCAAGAAAAATGACAGGTTGGATAACAAGAACTTTTCACACTAGAGATGCTATACCGATGATGATACTTTTCAAAACGCTTGTGCTCTCTAGAGTGGAGTACTGCTGCACAATGACAGCACCTTTCAAAGCTGGAGAAATTACTGACCTGGAGAGCGTGCAGAGATCCTTTACTGCTAGAATCCACTCAGTAAGACATCTAAACTATTGGGACCGACTAAAGAGCCTAAAACTGTACTCCCTTGAGCGCAGGCGGGAGAGGTACATAATAATTTACACGTGGAAAATATTAGAGGGGCTGGTCCCAAACCTGCACACAGAAATAACATCACATGAGACCAGAAGACATGGCAGGATGTGCAGAATACCCCCGTTGAAAAACAGAGGTGCAACTGGTACTCTGAGAGAGAACTCTATCAACATCAGAGGTCCGAGACTGTTCAACACGCTTCCACTACACTTAAGGGGCATAACTGGCCGACCCCTCACAGTGTTCAAGAGAGAACTGGATAAGCACCTCCAAAGGATACCTGATCAACCAGGCTGTGACTCGTACGTCAGGCTGCGAGCAGCTGCGTCCAACAGCCTGGTTGATCAGTCCGGCAACCAGGAGGCCTGGTCGACGACCGGGCCGCGGGGACGCTAAGCCCCGGAAGCACCTCAAGGTAACCTCAAGGTATGGTAACTATTAACACTAAAAAACAATTTTTATCCTTGGTAGTAAGTGTTATTTTCTAAGTCATATGCTTCTATAATATACAAAATGGTTATTATTCCCTGAAAACCTTGCTTTGACCTTTGCCTTAGCTTTAAGATGATGTCTAGAAGGTTGCTGACACCTTATCTAGAGCTGTGACGGTTTGTTACAGCTCTAGATAAGCATTTGGCAGCTTTTGTGTACCTTCAAGTACCTTCAAGATATCTTCTTCAAGACTGAAGAAGCCTTCATCCTTCAAGAAGGTACTGTACCTTCGAGTACCTTCATCACTAAATTGTCTGAGGCAAAGATCAAAGCAAAGTTTGAGGGGGATGAGGGGCAATAATGGCCATTTTCTATACTTTAGAGGCATGAGTACATAGAAAGTAACACTACTCAGGGACAACAAATTTTTTTACATAATGTAATTACATAATAAATATTGTTTTATTTTCCTTTTTGCAATTTATTTTAAAGCTATAGAATTTTCTTGTTAATGAGTAGTGGCATTGAAAGTTTTGCTTCCCATTGGCCCTTTTCAACATATTCCACCCCCCACAATCCCACACTTCTCCTCATTCTCACTCTCCCATACTTCCCCACACATTTATACATTGAAGTGCATTCACACACATTTGTATGCTCCCACTATTTTTTTTTTTTTTTGAGATATATACAAGAGTTGTTACATTCTTGTACAGCCACTAGTACGCGTAGCATTTTGGGCAGGTCCCTGGAATACGATCCCCGCCGCGAAGAATCGTTTTTTCATCCAAGTACACATTTTACTGTTGCGTTAAACAGAGGCTACAGTTAAGGATTTGTGCCCAGTAAATCCTCCCCGGCCAGGATATGAACCCATGACAAAGTGCTCGCGGAACGCCAGGCGAGTGTCTTACCACTACACCATGGAGACTGGTAAATATATTCCCACACTCCCTTGTAGGTAGGTGTAAGGGTTTAGTAATGGGGTTAAATGTGCCATGCACCAAAAAAGGTATGTTGCTGGTGCAGCCTGATGAGCAGTATGTTTTTAGCAGTGAAGTTAAATGTGCCATGAGCACAGAGAAAGCATGTTGCTGGTGAACAGTTTCTTTAGTATTTCACTAAAGAAATTGTTCATGACTTTTGTGAGACCAAAGCTGGAATATGCAGCGGTTGTATGGTGCCAATATCTTAAGAAGCACATCAACAAACTGGAAAAGGTGCAAAGACATGCAACTAAATGGCTCTCGGAACTGAAGGACCAGAGCTACGAGGAGAGGTTAGAGGTATTAAATATGCCAGAACTAGAAAATAGAATGAAAAAAAAGAGTCAATATGACCACTACGTACAAAATAGTAATGGGAATCAATTTAATTGATAAGGAAGAATTCCTGAGGCCTGGAACTTCAAGAATAAGATGTCTTAGAATTAAACTAATTAAACAAAGCTGCCGAAGAAATAAAAGAAAATTTACCTTCGCAAACAGAGTGGTAGATGGTTGGAACAAATTAGGTGAGAAGGTGATGGAGGCCAAAACTGTCAGTAATTTCAGAGCATTATACAGTAGAACCTCGGGTAACGAATGCCCCTCTTTCAGAATTTTTCGGTTTTCGAGCTCAATTTCTTCGTAAAATTCAACTCGGTATTCGAGGTTTATCTCATTTCTCGAGTTTGTTGATACACGTAAGGGTCGACCGAGTCCTGGTTCTGGTCGAGTGCGTGGTTCTAGTGGCGCGGGCGAGGTGTGCCTCAGTTTACCAATGTGTCTTGCCTAGTGACGACCACGCTTTAGTCCTTTGTGAAGACTTTCATTGTATTTGTACTTTTTTGGTTTTGGAATATACAAGTAATTATTATATATCATGCCATGGGTCCCAAGAAAGTCAGTGGCAAAGTTCAACCTAAGAAAACAATTGTGAGGATGACGATAGAGCAAAAACAAGAGATCATTCGTAGGGAAAAACAAGTCTATAAACAGGTTTTTAGTGTGACAAACAAGCAGTGAGCCATAACCAGGTCCTAGTGGTATGCCTGCAAAATGTGAGAGAGAGAGAGAGAGAGAGAGAGAGACAGAGAGACAGAGAGACAGAGAGAGCGCGCACCAACCAACCAACCAACCCACCCCAGAAATGTCATCACTGCCTGCTGTTATAATGGAACATCATAACAAACACTTTCAAATACTAGCACCTCTCCTTCCCTCCTCACTGTCTTCCATATGCCAACAAGAGTCCTTAATGTAACTACTGTACTGTAGTACAAACTTAACTACTGTACTGTAGTACAAAATATGAGTACAGTAGTATTATTTATAAAATATATTTTTAAGGTAATATTTCTGGGTGTGTGCAACGGAATATCGTAATTAAATTTACATTATTTCTTATGGGAAAATTCATTTCGGTTTTTGAATTTTCGTTTGTTGAATCATCTCTGGGGACGTATTAAATTCATAAACAAAGGTATCACTGTATGACAGTGTGTGTGCTGGCAAGACGGGACACCACGAATGTAGGTCTCATCTCTACACTTGGGTAATTACATATATACATACATATACATACTGTACTCTATACAGTACCATTTTGAGTTTTGTAATTAACATTGTATTTACAATATTTTTAAGAAAATGGTTAAATATCTTTTCACTACTGGTGAGTTGAGCCTGATCCTAAATTAGTTTTTGTACTGCAGGAATTAGGTGAATTAGGGGGAATGACGGGCCCTGGACAACCAAAGCCTCTTGCCCATCCACCAGGAATGCCGGGTAGAGGAGATGATGACGATGAGGAGGAGGAGGATGATGATGACGAGGATGATGATGGTCAGGCTCCAGCTCCTGAAGGGTAATGCTTAATTATGCATCATTTTCACCTGTGTGGGTAGATGTTGTCGTTCCAGAGAAAGGCAGCATTCAGTAAAAAGGACAACTAATTTCTTATGTACACATAGTTGTAAAGTTTGGATTAAACATCTCGAGTTTCTATGTAGAGTAACCCACAAAAGAAACTGTTATAATAATAATAATAATAATAATAATTTGTATTAATGGACTATATGTACATAAGAACATATTAGATAGATGATGAGTCACAATAACATGGCTAAAGATATGATGCCCAAACCACACACCAGAAGATGAAGAAACGACGACATTTTGGTCCGTCCTGGACCATTATCAAGTCTTATGTGCACGATGATGATATATGATTTGATAATGGTCCAGGACGGACCGAAACGTCGTCTTTTCTTCACCTTCTGGTATGTGGTTTGGTCATCATATTAAGGTATACTTGAGGACATGGGGATTGCATATTAAATAAAACCACTAATATGCAATGCATTTTGGGTATATTCTTGACTGATGTGTAGTGTATAACAGTTAATTTATTAATGCTATATTTAAAATATTTCATGACTTCATATGCAAGTTCTAAAACATTCTATACAGTTCATCCTCACTCTGATGTTGATCCACCTAATCATAGTACTGTATAAACATAGCAAGTACACTGCTTAACACTATCGCACTCCGTGCAGGCGTGCCACGGACTGTGACATCATGCTCCCGACGTTTCAGGGGAGCACGCGGCAACACCGAAAAGTGTATACTCGTTTCAGTTTTCTCACCTCAATTCTTGTGCTATGTCGTTCGTTTTGGCATCATTGTGTTCGCAATAGAATTCTCTACAGGGGTATATGCATATAAGGTCTAAAAGCCTGGCATGACTCTCCACAGCAAAGCCTAAAGTCAGCCAAGTTACCTGTGAACGAGCACCAATTGACACACCTGCAGACTAATGTATACAGTGGCACCTCGATTAACGAGTTTAATCCGTTCTGGCATCGAGCTCGTTATGTGGAAAACTCATCTTAAGAAACAAATTTCCTCATTTAAAATAAAGGAAATAAATTTAATCTGTTCCACTACCAAAAACATCCATACTTGTATGACATTTTATAATGTAAATATAATACTGCACATGTAATTATAAATGTTTTGTTGTACTGTTTTCAAGTTTACTTTACCTTATGAAGAGTCGTTGCTGGCTTGAGGGAGACGATGGGGAGGTGGGAAGGAGGAGAGGGGTTATGGTGTGGAAGGAGAATCCACCTCCGAGTCAGGCGACCTCTCTCTTCTTAGGAATTTCACCCCACTGGGACCGGGTTGTGGTTCACTATCACTTGCTGGTCTTTACTTTTGCAAAGAACGAGTCTATTGACAATTTCTTTTGTCTTTGTTTTAGGATGTCCCTAACACGAGACAGCAAATTGTCATTAAACATGTTCACACATTGGGTTGTCACTGCTTTATCAGGGTGATGCTTTTCTAAGAATGCGGTCACCTTTTCAAACATTCCCAACACTTCCTTAATCTCACTGGAAGAGGCAGCATCCTCCCTTACCTCCTCATCCCCTTACTAATGGTGCAAATTGTGGATGAGGACCTGCCATAATCCCTTGTGAGATCAGTCACACGGACACCACGCTCATGCTTTGCTATAATTTCCTTCTTCAAATCCACAGTAATTGTCTCTTTCTTCCTCTTGGCAACACTATCTTTAGCAAGCAGCTTCTTTGGTGACATCATGCGTCACAAATTGTAGTCACAAAACCACAACAAACCCCAAAAAAAGTGCAAATAAATGCAGATGGATGCTTGTCGTGCGATACAACAACAACACTGGCGTCGGAGGCGTCCGAGAATTTGTGAGAACCCGCGAGACACTAGGAAGCACCATGTGATTTTGCTCGTTAATAGAGGTGAAGCTCGTCAATAGAGACAAATTTGGTGTGAGTGACTCGCTCGTTACTCGAAATGCTCGTAGATAGAGCCGGTCGTTAATCGAGGTGCCACTGTATTTACCTAAAGGATTTTAGGTTCTTTTACCTAATATAAAACTGTACATATTAGTGAAGTAACACAGTAATTTTCTAATTGTGAAGAGCTTTAAACAGATCCTTTTAATACCATTTTTCATTATATTTAGACATGATAGTTTTTAGTAAGAGTACAGAGTTGGTAATTAATTGTTCACAAAAACAGCAAAACAGGTTGACAGATAAGAAGCAGTGAATAAGGTTGGTTACAGAGCGTTAATTACTGGTAGTTCTTAGTTTCTCTTTTGCACTACTATATTTAAGAAAATTACAGCCTTTAGGGTGATTTGAAAGATCAGTCCACAGTTCCAGAGCATTTCTGCTTTGGCAAAGTTGCACTTTTGGAATATTAAAAAGATATTTGTTTTTTGTGTGGTGCCCTCAAGGAAGTGCTTAGGGTCAGGAGTAGCGTTGCAATTTATGCGTTTGAATGATACCGGGTACACTTGAGAGGATGTGCCATAATTTAATAATAAGGAACTACACTTCATGGTTGTAGTTTCTCCTTCCTCTTCAATCATAAAAATCCGAGATATTCTTAAAATCACGAGAACTGTGCTTTTATCACAATTTATCGCAATCACAATTTGTTTTCCTAGGTTGAGCAACTTTAAAGATGCCTAGCCACAACAATTTATCAGTGTCTATTTTTACAGGGCCTATGATCCAGCAGATTATGAACACCTCAGTGTCAGCCCAGACATTTCAGAATTATTTTCCTATATCACACGTTACACGCCTCAGGGTATTGAACTGGAGCACCGCCTCAGGCCCTACATTCCTGATTACATCCCTGCTGTGGGTGACATTGATGCCTTCATTAAGGTAGGATTATTTAACTCTATATATGGGTTTCCTTTAGATTTTTGTGAGGCTTTTGAAAGTCACTTCATCTGGGTAACTTTATAAATGTATAAAATTTACAGTTTGAAAGTAGCTACAGTACATATATACATGTTAAGAAGCCATGTTTAATATAAGTATGACTTTGGTGTTTGGGAATATTAAAAGTCAGGTTGTACACGGATACAGGTAATCAAGAACACTCGCTTAATAAAGTATTACCATTATGGGATGAGGCCAGGAATTATAACAGTATAGCTAGCAAGTAATATCCAAGAAATTAATAGTTAACAGGTGCAATTGAACATTAATAATTGTACTATACTGGGCAGATACTGATAATATAGTAAGATGAGAAGGTGGGTACTGTACAGTACTCATAGCAGTACAGTACATGAAACAAGTGGGGGGTTTCATTTGTGCAGTTTCCTATGTATAATTACCTAAGTGTAGTTACAGGATGAGAGCTACTCTCGTAATGTTCCATCTTTCCAGCACTTTTTGTCATGGCACTTTCAAACTATTGATGGTTTTGGCCTCTACTGCCTTCTCACTTACCTTCTTCCAATCGTCTACCACTCTGTTTGCAAAAGTGAACTTTCTAATGTTTATTTAATGTTTTCCTATCTTAATTCTATCCTCTTGTTCTTGAAAATTCAGGTTTAAAGAATTCAACTATCAATTTTATCAATTCCCTTAAATAGTGATCATATTGCCTCTTTTTCTTGTCTTCTAGCTTTGTTATACAGTATTTAACACCGCTAGTCTTTCCTGGTAGCTCTTGTCTTTCAGTTCTAGAAGTCATTTTGTTGCATGTCATTGCAACATTTTCAGTTTGTTGATGTGCTTTTGTATTTACCTAAGTGTAATTACAGGATGAGAGCTGTGCTTGTGGTGTCCTGTCTTCCCAATACTCTGTCATATGGCACCTTGAAACTACTGTACTAATAAACAAATCACGTTGTTTCACGATACATCACGTGAATTTCCAAATTCAAATTGCTATTCACAAATCCAAATTCAAATCACAAATCCAAATCACTATACATCACGTTAGTGTATTTTCTGTGTACTGTACTAATAATTTTCACATTTCTTATGTCTTCGGCAGCCTTTTTTAGTTAGCTTAAATCAATGACCTCTTGTTCTTGAAGTTCCAGGTCTCGGGAATTCTTCCTTATCAATTTTGTAGATTCTTGTTAATATTTTTTATATAATGATCAGATCGCCTCTTTTTCTTCTACTTTCTAGTTTTGGCATTCAGTGCCTCTAACCTCTCCTTATAGCTCTTGTCTTTCAGTTCCAGAAGCCATTTAGTTGCATATCTTTGTACCTTTTCCAGTTTGTTGACGTGCAACTTGAGATATAGACAACCATACAACCATTGCACTGCATATTCCAACTTTGGTCTCAAAGGTTGTGAACAATTTCTTTAGTATTTCCCCATCCATGTGTAACATATATTTTATGTGTACATATTTGGTTGAAGAGTTTAGTGTTTTTTTTTATATTTATTTAGTATAGTCTTGGTTAAAACAGTAGTTGGTTTGATGGCAATGTAATGAAGTGTTGTGGTATGAGACGAAGCCTGGAGCAGGCCAGAGAGCTGAGTGAGGCCAGGGGTAGAGAACTTGGATATAGAGTGAGAGTGTAGAGCATGGTGTTCTGAATGCGGGCGGAGTCGAAAAGCTCGAGTGCAGGACGAGAGTATGGACCCCCAGTGTGGCCGGAGTCTGGCTGGCTGCTCTGTGTCAAGGTTGAAGCGTCTTGTAAGAGTAGGAACTTTACACGTCAAGTGTTACATTGTTGTTGGTGAATGTTGAAGATGTGTGGTATCTCTCAAGCATCTGTACTGAATCACTCTTGGAGTTTAGACTGACTGGCTGATGATTGATTGATGAAGATTAAGCCACCCAAGAGGTGGCACGGGCATGAATAGCCCGTAAGTGGTAGGACTAACTGATGTGCTGTCAAAACTTGTATTACAAGCCTCCACTTCACCCAACCATCATCTAGCAGGTTGGGAAGAAGTATTAACTGTAATTAAAGGTACATTTGGGCATTGAAATTAGTGGACCAAGAATCAGTGTAGGACTTCTAGGAATGTGATAACCTAAGAGAGAGGTTTCGTAGAATTAACAGACCCATCTCATTATCTGCACATAAGTTAATGAGAATATGGAGCAAGTATACTGTATTTACGTACTCGCATAATATCTTCCTACACATGTATACAGGATAGACATTGAAAGGTACTGAATGTCAAATATCTCTTCCTCTTTCCTGGTGAATATCAAATCCGGCACTGAAGGAACATCCCCTTCACTCATGCTCGTACTTAGTTTAATGTGTTGATACATGAATGTCTCCAGGATGAGGTTTACGAATTTACAGATCCAAAAGTCCTCAGTTCTAGCTTCATAGACCTCCCAGTCTATGGATTTAAAGTTGAAGTCACTAAGTACCAGCAATAATGATCTAACCTCATCTGTTCTTTCTATAATCTCTCTCTCAAGATTGTTATGAGGCCCTCTCATTTGTTGTCTAGCCCCTCCTTTGTCCATGTGTTGCATGCCGGTGGTCTGTAGGCAATTATGATTATCAGTTTATCATCCTGATTACAGATCTCTAGTGCTGTTATGTCAACTTCTCGTGGATTGGCAATCATTGTTTCATTTGCCTTTAGGTGTTCTTTCACCAGCACGGCAACACCTCCACCTTTCCTAATTTTTCTGTTTCGTCTTCAAATTGAGTAGTCCCTTGGGAATACGACTTCATTTAAAATACTGTGTCAGCATTGAGTTTCGCCTCTGTTAGTGCAACAATGTCTGTTGTCTTCAGCTATATTATATTGTTTAGCTCCAGTATTTTTTATCTCACTCCATCTATATTAGCATATAGAATCTTCAGGAACATGTTCCCTTGTTCTTTACTCGCCCTTTCTCTAGCGATTTTGTTGGTTTGGCTTTTTTTGTGCCATTTCACAGGCTTGCCTACTCCTATCACCTTGTAGAAAAATAATTTATTTCTTCTTCCTTCCTGCTCTCACTTAGACATTTTGATTCAGCGAGATTCAGTTTCAGCTTCTCTCTGTCTTCCTTTGAAAGATCATGTCTCAATGACCATGATTTCCCTTCCTCATAACTTTGTAATATCCTACCATTTCTGAGTACTTCCATTTATCTCCATTTAGGGTAATCAAGCGTTGATCTTTCTTTTTTTCGTGCCTGTTAATTCTCCTGTAGTCACAGACATTATCTTTGGTTGTAAGACGTTCCACTAGCCCAACAACTTTACTATTTTTGCTTCTTCTGTGGCTCTTTCTGACCTGATGTTCGCCCTGTTGGCTACTTGTCGCCCTGTTGGGCTACTTGTCGCCCGGTTGGGCTACTTGTCGCCCGTTTGGCTACTTGTCGGCCGTTTGGGCTACTTGTCGCCCGTTTGGGTTCCCTTTTTTTGGGCTCTTTGCTTCTTTGGCCGGTTTTATTGTTCCTGCTTCCTCTTTTGGCTCTTTTTCTCGTGCAATAGTCCTGGCTGGCGCCTTCCCGCAGGGAGGGTGTGCGGTTCGGCCAGCGTGTTATGCGCATGCGCCGTGGAGTTTGTTTTGGTCTGGGCGATGGTTCAGTGCTGGGGTTTTGCGCCTTTTTTTGCTACAGTGCTTCGCCTCTCGTTCTTCTCCCTGGCTGCGGTATGTGCCCCTTTGCGCCAGGGGTGTCCTGGTTCCCAGTTGTGGGAGGACACCGCGGTTTTCTGTGTCATGGGTGTGGACCGCCTCCTTCGCCTCTCCCTGTTCTCCTGCGGGTCCGGCTCTGGCGTCTTCACCTGGCGGTGCTCCCAAGTTCTTCTGGGCACGGTTGAGTCGTGTCAAGTTCGAGCCACCATTCGCCAGGTGAGTTTCTGCGGTCTGGCGTCTTTTGGCCGGGCGCTGGATGCGGCGGTGTTCATATACCTGTCTTTATTTAGGTATAATTTTGTACGACTGAGACCGTTCGCACACCAGTGACTGTCCCTTTATCACCCCTTCCTGTCCCCCTCATGTGCATGTCCAACCCATGCTGGAGTCGTTCAGGGACCCTCCTTTTTTTAATGTTGAGGTGTGGGGGTTGTAGGGTTGGTTCTGTACTCACCTGGTGAGGCTCCTGGCTGTGCTTGCAGGATTTGAGCTCTGGCTCTTGGGTCCCGCCTATCTGGTAGAACTTGCGGGATAGTACCAGTGGAGTGCAGTGGTGCTATTGGCACTTTTGGGGAACACTGTATTACCATCAGTGGTCTGTGCTTGTTACACGACCTACTTGCGAGCATATGCCTTCTTGCTGGTTCGTCCGTGGACTTCCAGGGCGCACTGGCCTGTTTTCGTATGGCAGTTCCGGCCCGTCCTGGTTGTGGGGGTATGTGGGCCGGTGGACTGCTCCTAGCAGCTGCCTGGTGGGCCATCCTCTGGCCGGTCTGGCCTGACCTTGGGCCGGGCTTGAGGTGTAAATGAGCTCCCAGTACCTCATCCAGCAGGTATCGAGCGGGGTTTCTCCGCCGTCGGTCGCCTGGTGCAGGTTTCTGGGCCTGCAGGGTTTTGTCGTGTCTCCGTTGGCCCTGTCTGGGGTCTGCCTGCTCCGTTCTCTGCCTTTGCAGAGGGGAGTTGCTATTTACATGTTGCATGTTGCAGTGGTGCCTGTTGCTGCTGCTGCTGCACGTGAGCATTGGTACCGTGTTTCACGGTGGCGTGTCCTTGTTCCTGTGTCCGGTTGTGGAGTGGCGCTTTGCTGCCGTTTTGTGCCTGGGGATTGCGTGGGGTTTTTGTCCCTGCCTGATTGTCCACCCCTGGTTGTTCTCCTGGTTTTCATCTTTTTTTTTTTAAACCAAAAATTATTAGGGACTTCGATCAACTGTGTTTTGCACGAGATTTGAGTTTGACGCCAGTTCCATTCTGGCTTCCAGTCTAATGTCTATGTTTTTCTGATTGGTGCAGTTTCTGGTTTCCTTTACAGCTTCTTCTATTATTTCTTTCTCCCAGGCCACTTGTGTATAGATAAGTTTCATATCCTTGCATTGTACTATTCTCACAAGCATGGGAATGCTGTGTGTAGCCTGCTGTGAGGTGGCATCAGCTCTATAGAGCCAATGCCCTATCCCCAACATGACCATATTTGCAGGCGCTCAAAATTACTATAGTGTCCATGATTTCCCATTAGTTCTTTCAGGGAGACCCTACTGACATGACAAAGAATTGACAAACCACTAGAATAATCCATGATTATCCTATTTGAAGAGACTTCAGGGTGGCATGATGATACGGTAGCAGGTGATATATGATCACGATATATTCTCCTTATATAGGCTCTGTGAGCACTAGGAGCTTACATAGTATTTCATCCAGGAATTTACCACACATTACTTGGAACACTCTAAAACACCCAAGGATGTCTGTTGCAGTGGAAAAGGTTAAGGGAGTAAAACTTATTGAGCAGGCGATGAAAGTGTTAATAAAGTAAGGGGGCCCATTTATGAACACCATTACCTGTATAAGGACTCCTCCTTTTTTTCCAGCAGATTTTAGTAATTCAGATCTTAAACACATGTCATGTTTATATGATTTTTTCTATTTTTGTCCAACTTCAGTTGAATACTAATATCATAATTCAATCAAACAGATCCCACCGCCAGATGGAAATTCAAGCCTTGTTGGTCTTGAAGTATTAGATGAGCCGAGTGCACGTCAGAGTGATGCTACTGTTTTAGATCTTCAGCTTCGTGCTTTGGCAAAACACACAACTGCCAAGACCACGGTAAGATCTCGGCAACAAAACAGTTTTTTTTTCCTACAAATTTTATTAATTTCCATCTTGTAGTAATGCTATCCTAGTTTTTTAGTATTTTAAAATATCCTTGTATTTTATATTTATTAACTCTATTTATAATTGAATTGCTGAATATTGAATATTACACGAGCAATTTGCTGGAAGAGCGAGACCCATCCCTGTGTACCTGGAGCAGAGACTAGAATGTGGCTTCCTATGTGAGGTGAAGGAAGCTTGGAGAGCTGAGATCAACCACAAACTGAGAACAGCCCATCAGAAAGTCTATGCGCAACAAAACAAATTGTAAGATATTTATATCTGAAATCCCAATTTGAACTTGGACATTAGGCTTTGAATAATATGATGCTTTGCAGAAACAGTTTTTGTCAAACTACAATCAACACAACATGGGTTTGTTAAAAACAGATGCTCCCTTACAAATTGCTCACATGTTTGGAAACAGTAACCAGCAACTCAAACAAAGGCCTTCTGGTGGATGCATGGATTTTGCTCAAGCCTTTGATAAGGTACCACATGAAAGACTGGCAAGGAAATTACAGGCACATGGAATAAATGGTAAAATATTAGAATGGATAAAACAGTGATTGAAGGAAAGAAAACAAAGGGCTGTGCTAAATGGGAATGAATCTGACTAGATAAATGTGGTTAGTGAGGTACCACAGGGGTCCATTTTGGGCCCTACCCTTTTTGTCATGTACATCAATGACAGACGAGAATATTACAAACCACATCATCTGATTTGCAGATGACACAAAGATTTATGGTAAAGTGGGAAATGATATGCTCCACAAATGGTCAGAAGAATGGTAAATGCTTTTTAATATCGACAAATGCAAGACTCTGCATGTGGGGCATAACCCACGCCACGACTACCAAATTAATAGCATTACATTACAACAGATTGATGAAGAAAAGGACTTTGGAGTCAAAATCCACCACTCATTACTATATAAATCTCTGGTGCACCCCCATTTGGATTACTGTATCCAAGCATGGAGACCTCATTTTCAGACGGACATATCTGCTGTGGAGAAAGCAGTGTTGCACAACACGAAAGTCATTTCAGAGCCAAGTCATCTCTCGTATCGGGAACGGTTGAGAGGTGCAAACCATCCCTCAACATGGCAAACCAGGTATGACAGGGTGGATCTCATTGAAATGTTTAAAATACAGGTACTGAACAAGTTGGAAAATGTAGATTCTTACAATTTCTTCAAAAGGTCGGCTGTAACATACTCAAGGAGCAATGGTTTCAAGCTCAACAAACCTCAATGTAGGACTGAGAACAGGGGGGGGATGCTTTTTCGCCCACAGGGTTATAAACCCATGGAACAGCTTACCCGCTGAAGCCGTAAATGGCAAAACACTGTTAGGATTTCAAATCTACCTGGAAAAGATCAAGACAAATGAGGACTTCGACGAGCCACCGGCTTCCTGTCCTTGTCAAGCCCACTAGTGTTAGTGGCCCTCAGGTAAATCAAGAAAATTTTGCCTGTACAGTATATTGAGTTCATTGGGAGTGACAGTCCCCAAGTGAGCATATAAAGGAATAGATAACATATTTTTGGTTCAAGAGGTTTGTTTGGTGTCAGGAGTTTTTCAAGAGCAAGTTGGCAGTCTTCTTGCTCCTGTAGTATATTATTAATTACATTTTTGGCTGGTGTTGGTAGGTGTCACATTTATATCAATAATGTTTTTCAAGACCCTCCTCCATTTTGTGGGCCGTGGAGAAAAGGTTCCTGAAGAATATTTATTATTAGGGACCTGTAGTGTGCTGCTGTCTGCTTCATCTGAGGTTGCACGGTGGCCCACCTTCCTTTTAATGATCTCTTCGATATATCCTTGTTTAACAAATCACTGTAGTTATTAGTTTTTATTTATTACCTGATAATATTTAAAAGGACAATAATTACAATTTTCTTACAGTCGGTGAAAACAGTTGAAAATGCAGAAAAGAATGCAAAGGTTGTGGAGAAGTGGGTGAGGGATATTAGTGAACTGCACAGAACCAAACCTCCTCCAACTGTCCACTACAGCAAGTAAGTTACATAATCATTTTACTCATTTTTTATTATAGCAAATATTGAATTTATGAAAGCTTTGAACAATTGAAGAATTATGCTTGGCAAAATAATTACCTAAATGTAATTAGGTAAGTGTAGTTACAAGATAACTGGTACACTCATGGTGTCTGATCTTCCCTGAACTTATGTCATGTTTATTTATTTTGTATTTATTTATTTATATACAAGAAGGTACATTGGGTTAAGTACATATATTAGGGTTTGAGTGTAACAACCTTGTAAAGCCATTTAAGCACAGCTTTTTGGGCACGTCCTTAAGCTAAAGAATAAAGGCAACAGAAGTTGAGTTGAACATAATTACTACATTACAATTTGATAGAATAGATTATACAGTATTGATGAAAGTTGAATGTCTTGCGTACTACATTGGGTGAGTGGGGTAGCAAGGTGGGGGAAATTATTAGGATGAAATTGGTACTTTTTGGTTTTATTTTTTAATGAGGCATAGGTTTGTCAGTTTTGTATTTCACTTGGGAGGAAGTTCCATAGACTGGGTCCTTTTATGTGCATAGAGTGTTTGCACAGATCTAGTCTGACTCGGAATAACAAAGATAGATTTATTTCCGGTGTGGTGCTCATGGGTTCTATTACATCTATCAAGGAAAAGTTTCAGAACAGGATTAGCATTTAGGAACAAAGTTTTGTACATGTAAATAGCACAAGAGAATGTGTGGAGTGTGTTCAGCATGCTTAGGGATTTAATAATAACCCATCCTTCCATTTAGATAGTATTTTTTGTAACTATTATGGACCATCGTATACACATAGACGTACAGTAATTGACAATTAGAAAGTAGGATTTGATAGTATTCATTTTATAGTCCCAAAAAATTAAGTTAAATCCAAACTTATATCTTCCTAGGCATAGTATAGCAAATATATGTATGTACAGTACTATATTAGGCCTCACATAGCATATATTAGGCCTAGGACGGTTAGGTTAGGTTAAGTTTTATTCGAAACATCAATATAAAAACTTTTCTAGTTTGTCCAAATTCAATAGTATGGATTTCTACTTTCTAATTGCCTTTAATGTTAATATGTACGATGGCCTTCATCCTTACTATAATTACTACTTAAACAGTGTGTTGTCAGAAGACATGAGTCTGTTATAGTTCTGATAATGAGAATAATGAGAGGAGAGAAGAGTGGGCAAGCAACTGATATGTCTACTTACATGTGTAGATTATATCAAGCAGACTGATAATGGCATCACTGGTACTCTTTTGGGAATAAAAGCTAACCTGGCAGGGACTTGATATGTCGAATTTTACAAGGTAGGAGTAAAGTCGTTTGTAAATAATTTGTTCCAAATATTTTTGATAGAATTGGTAAATTTAATATTGGTTGGTCTGTAATTGTTTGTCAGCTGTATTGCTTCCTTTATGAACTAGAGTTACTCTTACTTTTCTAAGGATATCATAAGGATATCAGGAAAAGTATGAATCTCTAGAGATTTGTTAAATATTAGAGCTGGGGTGGTATAAGGGCATGAGTGGCACTCTTATATACCATAGTTGGAATTTCACCATTGTTCCCAGATTTGGTTTTGAGTGAATTGATACAATGTTGGGCTGACTCCCAAAAGGAGTAAAGAGTTAGGATAGCTACCAGTGAGATGTGTAGTAACTTGTGTCTGGGTCTCTGGGATTTTTCTGGCATAGTTAGCACCAATTTATAAAAAAAAGAAGCTGTTAAATTCAGTGGCTATTTTTAAATCTGTTGCAAGTGTGTAGCCATGCTTGGAGAGTTTTATCTGCTTATGCAATTGTTGTTTAGATCCTAGGATGTTAGAGATTGCTTTCCATGTGCTTTTCATGTTATCTTTTGCTGCTTTGAATCTACTCTCATAAAAAGAAAGTTTTTGTCAGCTGTATCGCTTCCTATAATAAGCTCTTCTTATTATAGTGGTAAGCATTAATGAGTTTCTTTTAACTAGTTCTTTTATTGCTAGGCCAATCCTAATTTTTGTTCATATTTGCATTTCTTGTTAATTGCTTTAAGTATGCTGCTTGTAAGCCAAGGTTGTTTAATCTTTTGGCAGTTACTTAACGAGGAGAGGACAGTGTGTGTTGTAGAGGCTTAGAGTTTTGGTGAGGAAGATGTTGGTTAATGAATTTGTTCTGTGTATTACAGGTATTGAATTCAGATTCCCTATTTATATTGTCAAGTGCATTTATGAGATTGCCTTCTGCTGCTTTGCTGTGTAGTCTAAAGGTTAAATTCCTGGTATCCAATGGTGTTATGATGAAGGTAGGTAGGATGGTGGTCAGTTGTTCTGTCAGTGATTACACCAGATGCAAGGGGTGCTGTTACCTTAGTCCACATGTGGTCCAAGGTTGTAGCGGATGTTTGAGTGATTCGGGTGGGCCTGGTGATTTGTGTGGATGAGCATACAGGTTCATGAAGTTCATGCTGTTAAGGAAATAGTCAACTTGAGGGCTATTTTGTTGACAAGGGTCAATGTTGAGGCACCTCCTAAGTTGTGATTTTTGTTGAGTTTGTTACTGATGACTAGATTCCTCAAATTATTTGAGGATGCAGTTGCACTAGTATTGGAAAACCTATAAACAACTCCAGTAGTTATAAGAGATTTAATCCTTAGACAACAACAATAGAGAAATTGTCATACCTGCCTATGCACAAAAAATAAAATTCCAAAAAATATTTTTTCATTTTAGAACTATTAATTTGTATGCAAAATGTAAGAAACATGAAAATAAGTGAATATTTATCGTTTCACTGGGTGGCGGCGCTCTGCAAGGCTGCGTCTGGCACTTGTCTATACCTGGTGCTTGACCTTGCTGACACTTGCTGTTTTATCCTTGGGTGTTCACGGATTGTTTTATTCCTTTGTTTTTCTTTTACATCCACAGTGAGCTATTTTATCAATATTTCTATCATACATGTAGAACCTAGACAATCAGTTTAAAGCGTCACGTGATGATGAGAGAGCTCGTAGACAGGGAAACAATGCTACGGAAAGACACACACCGAGATCAAACCGACACAATGAGGTCCATGTCTGGGTGCCAGTACGTCCATCAAAGCCAACAGAAGGAATCGGCATCGAAGGTCCATTCCCTGCAATAGGGATTGAAGTGAAACAGACCGTTGGCCAGGATGTTGGACGCTCCCTGAACGTGAACAGTGCAGAGAACCAAACCCCAAGAACCTGGTAGAAGAGCTACCCAAAGTATCCAGCTCCAAAGAGGCATGGACCCTTCCCATTGAGATAATGAACCACAGGGGAACAGTCCGAATGGAGCCGTATCACCAAGCCCCAAGGAATCTGACCCCTCCCCCCATCCATCCACTAGTGCCTGCTACACTGCCGCAAGATTTCACACGATGCTGGGGAGCCTGACGAAAGGATGGCTGCCAATGATCTTGGTTGAACAGGTGAGCACTGGGCACAAAGCTCCAACCTACCACTGAGGTGTCGATGAAAATATCGAGCGAGGGAAGAGGAAGGCTCCATGGCACCGAACCCCAAACAAAACAGAGTTATGTTAAGAGAGCCAGTTGGTGTGGAGACGCTCCAACTGGCAAAGACACCGGGGGTCGGACCTAGCAAGAGTGGCGAAAGGGGCTGGCCCGAAGACGCCAGAATAGCCTCTGGAGCCAAACTGTTCCCAATGGGTAAACCAGAAGGGCAAAGTGCAGACTCCTGCACAGCTACTTGCACAACTGTCGAGTCACCCAGGTCCCCCTCAGCAGCTGATGGAGGGAGTGCAGCTGGAGCAAAGCCACAGGGAAAAGGGAAAGCGACACCATTTGAGAATCCTGAACTAGGCCCAACCAGGTTCGAACCTGGGACGAAACCAACTGGGACGTCCTCCAGTTCACCAGGAACTTGAACCCAGCAAGTTGGGAAAGAACGAGATCCCTGGCTAGCAGTTCGGCTGAAAGGCCACACCACCCAGTCGTCGAGATAGGTCAAGACCCAGGCTGGGCCACCATGACCTGAGTCACACTCGTAAAAATGCAAGGTGCCAGATGCAGCCCAAATGGAAGAGCCTGAAAGTGGTAAGCCTGTCGCCCCACAACGAAACCTAATCAATCCCTGAACATCTAAGGAAAGAGCCAGCATAGCCTGCCGACATGCCAGACAGATGGTGAAGAAATGAAACCATCTCCTGGAGGATCAGATCATACAGCTGAATCAAAAAAAAGTCTTTGTCTCGGATGCAAAAGCAGCCGAGACAAAGACTCTGGCAGAAGGTCCTGCACCAAGAGGCCCTCTTCCAAAAGCCAATCCAAAGACAGCTCCAGGAGGCTAAAGAACCGCACAACAGAGGCGGTCGTCAGCTACCAAGGCAGCTGAAAGAAGGGCACCTGAGCAAGCTGCAGCACCAGACCCACATGGGAAAGGGCAGGGGCCAAGAGGCACACATTGAGGGACTCGAGAGAGAGCCCCTAAACACCTGCAACACCGAGGACACCTCCTGCCAAGCAAGTGTGCTGGCAGACCAAAGCTGTGCCAAGTTCCAACCGAAAACAAAGGACAGTCCGCTAGCCAGGATGAGACAGGAACATCGGAACACACCCAAGAAAGGTAAGGAAACCTTTTGAGTCACCGAAGCCTCTTCCCAAACCAAACCCTTCCAAGTCCAAAACCCTCAGTTGCTATGGAGCCAGAAGCGAGGAAGGAGAAGGACGAACAGCCACACCCACCTGGGAAGGAAGAGGGGGTGCGGAAAGAACCACAGTCGAGGTGACCAACGCCCCCAAATCCGAAGCCCTTAACACCAACCAGGCACACAACCTTATACATTGCAACACAGTAAACACCTATGCAATGCAACCACTTCTTGAAACCTCTGAATATCTATCGAGGAATCATGAACATCATAATCTGGAGAACATGAGGGGAACAAGTCCCACATGACTCAGGGTCGAAGGTGTCGTCGACCCAACAAGCAGCAAGACGGAAGCAGAATGCATGATCGTCACCCTAAGACACAAGACACAAACAACCCTCAAATTTGCACAAGGCAAAACCAAGCTCTGAAGAGGCATCTATGTACAATAGAGCCCGCAGGGGTTTTCCAGAGCCTGTGGGGTGAATTAGCCCTACAGGAAGCCCCGGCACTGGAGCCAGCTACGTCGGTAAACCAGACTGTAAGAAACTGCCGGAAAGCGCAGGGGATAGCAAGGGAGTACCACCACACACACACCCTAGGCAGTCTAATGAGGCAAAAGGCAGAACTTCGCAGCAGCAGCAGCAAGTGAACAAAGTGCCAGCAAACTAAAAGTGAAGCATAAAAACTCCTAGACCCAACAGTGGCAAGAAGGCATCTTGGAAGAAACATCGGCGCACCATTCACTAGCAGAAGAGCTGGCAGCGCCAGCCGCATTGTGCCCCACCAGCCAAAAACACCCCCTAATCCAGGGCAAGACAGAAATGCCCGTGCCTCCCTCGCTTCCATCACAATCGACTTGATAATAGTCCAGGACGGACTGAAACGTCGTCGTCTCTTTATCTTCTGGTGTGTTGTTTGGTTATCGTATCTTCAGCCACATTGTGACTCATCATCTGTACAAGACAGAAAGCCTAATACCCCAGGCTTACCCCAAGGGCCAGGACCACCTCAAGCAAGGAAGCCCCCTGACGGGAGTGTTTCTTGAACGCCCCAGGAAAGGGAATCCTGACTGTGCAAAGGTAGTACTGTACCTACAGAGCAAAGAGGGATGTTAATCCTGAGCTCATGCAGCTCAAGTACATTAAACTCCTGGCCTATGTACACTATCATGTAGGAACAGCCTAAAAAGGCAAAATGCCACCGAAACAGGAAATCGAGGCCAGAGTTCACCAATGACTGCCCAGCACAAACATCAGTCAAGAACTGACTGGTGGCAGCCTGGCTTCCCTGCTCATTGAGGGGAGGGGAAGAGGCTTCTCTCTTCCCCTGAAAAATTTAATTTTCTGGGCTACTACAGCCAAGCCATGAAAGGTAGATACTTTGCTTGGATTTTTATGCTTCCTGGATGCTTATTAACATAAAAGAAAAATAATGTTTTCAGAAGAAATGTGTGCATATCAAATCTGGTACAGAAATATCATGCATGGTTAAGAGGTTAAAGGTGTGTGATTGTGGCTTCCATCACATAAAGTCCCAGTTTGTTAGTACAGTGCTTACACCTCTGACACTTGTTTCCAGCTGCTTCCTGTACCTCATATCTAGTTTTCCCATGTGTAATAATAATGTCCCTATCCACCTCACACAGTCCCATCAATATCCTGTATGTTGTGATAATATCTTGTCTGCTCCATTTTTCTACTAGCATACATATGTATGCACATGTGCTCACATGTATGACTGTGAATGTTGAAATTTATTAAAAAATAAGCATATAGATATATATGTGATGTGACTTTTTTAGATGAAGTACATTCCACATGCATTTTGTCCAAATTTCTTTTTATTTGAACTAACTAACTTTATTTACATATGTAAATCACTAAAAATGCACTTGCATGTTTTCCTTTCAGACGTATGCCAGATATTGACTCTCTGATGCAGGAATGGCCCGGGGAAGTTGAAGAACTTTTAAAAGAAATAAATTTACCAACAGCTGCCTTGCAGCTAGAACTTTCTGCATACGTTGATATTATTTGTGGTTAGTACTTTTTAATCACGGTATATATTTTTTCTGGAAAGCCCCCAGTGGCTCTCTGAAGCTATCTTGTTAAGATTGCTCCATTCTGATTGATCACATCAGTCATGAGAACGTTTGTCTGGCCTACTGGAGACCAGCGCCAGAACCTGGCTTTCCCTCAGAGGCACAAGGAGCAAGTGACAACCTGTCACTCCACCGGAAAAGCATCCAGAAAGTCATCGAAGCATTACAAACAACCAGAGTGTTCACAGAAAATGGAGCCTCGAACTGCTTGAGCAACTCTGCAAATGAATCACACTGAACAATAGTGTGATTCCCAAACACTGAACCCAAAACTACTCTGATGAATAATATACTGTAATATATACTGTATACTGTAATATAGTAACCTAAATTATATAATCATAAAATGTAATGACTAGAGAATTTTTTTAGAAAGAGTATGAAATAAGTGATAATGTAAATAAATTTGTTATTGATAGCTGCCACTAGGCAGCCTGGTTTCACCAGCAGTCAGCTGTTATGGTGGATCCTGCAAGTTGTAGTGGCTCAGGTACATCTGTCGTGGCAAGACCCTAATTCAAGTTAAATGCCAGCCATTCTTTGGTCTTTGGGAACCATTTTCATAATGTATTGTTTCTTATTATGGTACTTGCTTCACGTGCGTGTTTTATTTCTGACTTGGTTGTTTGGGCCTGACTTATTTGAGCTTTGAACTGCATAGGTTCAGGGTTTCTATCCTGAGTGCGCATTAGTTCTATTCCTGTAACAAAAGAGTTTTTGGTCTCTGGTGTGTGGGAATGTGGTCACCTGAGGCCTGGCCACAGGCAGAGAGCTTTGCCTTGTGTTATTGGGCAGTCCATGAGTCCAAGGGCTCTCTGGGCCCTTGGGTTGGGGTGTAAGGGTTGTGCCCATGGTACTGTACTTAAGTGTACAGTAGTTACATGTGGGGAGCTGTGCTCGTGGTGTCCCATCTTCCCAGTACTCTGTCATATAATGCTTTGAAACTACTGACAGTTTTCGCATCTACCACTTTTCACATAATTTTTTTCAACTGTCTACCACTCTGTTTGCAAAAGTGAACTTTATGATGTTTTTTGGCAGCTTTGTTTCATTAATTTGAACCCATGTCCTCTTGTTCTTGAAGTTGTAGTTAAAAAAAAAAAAAAAGTCCCCTTTTGTCAATTTTATTGATTCCTGTTACTATTTTGTAAGTAGTGATCATAGTACCTATTATATCTTCTAGCTTTGGAATATCAAACCTCTCTTCGTATCTCTTATTTTTCAGTTCTGGAAGCCATTTAGTTGCATGTCTTTTCACGTTTTCAAGTTTGTTGATGTGCTGCTTAAGATATGGGCACCATACAACCACTGCATATACCAGCATTGGTCTCACAAACATCGTGAATAATTTTGTTAATATGTCGCCATCCATGTATATAAAAGCGATTCTAAAGTTGTAAAACGTAGCATACGCTCCTCGCATTATGTTCTGTGTGTGATCCTCAGGTAACATGTTCCTTATCCAGAACCAGCCATAGAGAACCAGATCTCTTATCAGAATTTTTTAATTTTTCACATAATTTCTTAGTTGTGTGGGGCCTATTTTCTCCTATTCCACATTTCATAATGTGTGCAATGCAGCAGCCATTTGCAGCCTAGGGTTTTGGCTGTCTTTGGTGTCTTCTTCCAGATACCCAGGCCCCTGTACCTGGGTATCCTACTTGTCTCATTAACTTCAGGCCTTGGTAATACACCCCCCCCTTGGGTCTCCGATATGATTTGCTGTGGATCTGTCGAGTCTGCACTTCCGGTGTGCAAGTTTGTTGGGTGTTTGTCACTGTTGCTGCCATACAATGATCATTCCTTTTGTTTCTGCTATGCTGACTGTTGGGTTAGGGACACCTGAGGATCCTGAATCCTGGGAGATTTGTTCTTGCTGGGTGTCTGTCATTATTTAGGCTTTGCATTTGGAAGCTCTTCAGTTAGCTGCCATGTTACAGGTTCAGTTTCTTCATAATAGTCATCCACAGCATTGTATTTGGATGGGCCAGATTTTCCCCTATTATGTTTAGGGATCTGGAATTGAAGGTGTTGATGACCTCCACCTGGACTAAGTCTATACCTCTCTGAACTTCCTCCTTGGGTGTGGTTCGCTCTGCATCAGGTCTTCACCAGACAGCTTTAGCTGCTGTGTTCGCTAACATATCATAGGCTGATAATTGGGATATGAGGGTTTTGGAGATCCAACAGGGTCCTCGCAGTTCATTATCTGGTCAGTATTTAAAATCCCAGTCAGGTTTGCATTGCCCTGGGTTGGGTTTCCAGTCCAGACATCTCGTCTTTATGAGTATAGTTGCCATTCTGCTTCCTGTTAAGTCCCATGTTTTGCATCTTTTCTGTTATTTGATAGCTTCAGGAAGCCACCAAGAGGCTTCTCTAGAAGACCAACATTGAATGAAATGATCTTCTAGAAGAGCCTTGGTGGCTCCCTGATTCCCTCCCTTTCCCCCTGCCAGGAGTATCAGTTTATGGTCTATCAGCTCGAAAATGACTCATTGCTGGCGCAAGAGCCTAGAGCTCCTCAGGTGTGGCCACCTGTTGGGGGTCATTTACAACTAGAGGGGTTTGAGCTCGTTTAGATTGAATCATTTGGGTTTGAGTCAATTGTTTGTGGAGATGTTTGGCTGTTTCAGTGCTCTCTCTTTCTGTGAACCTTGCAATTGTCTGTATTGCTTTGCTTACTTTCTGGATGTTTTCTTGGCGAGGGGCGAGCATAACAATCCCCTGCTCCCTGTAATTACCTAAGTGTAGATACAGGATGAGAGTTACACTTGTGGTGTCCAGTCTTCCCAGTACTCTTGTCATATAACATTTTGAAACTACTGATGGTTTTGGCCTACACCACTTTTTTACTTAACTAGTTTGAACCATCTACCACTGTTGGCAAAATTTCAAAATTGAAATGTCTTTTTATCAGCTTCGTTTCCTTAGTTTGAACCTATGTCCTCTTGTTCTTGACGTTGCAGTTTTCAAAAATAATTGTTGATTCCCATTACTATTTTGTACATACCTGGATGAGGTTCTGGGAGTTGTTTCTACTCTCCAAGCCTGGCTTGACTTCTGAGAACTAGGTCCAATAGGCTGTTACTTGGAACAGCCCACAAGCCCATATATTCACTACAGCCTGATTAGTCTGGCGCTTCTTGTAGAAAACTGTCCAGTTCTTTATTGAAGATTTCCACTTTTGTTCCAGCAATATTTTGTATACTTGCTGGGAGGATACACTTTCACTAACTTAAACAACCATGGACCTCTGGTTGATACCTGGTAGAATACCACATTCTAACCTCTGATCTTCATAGTGTACTCTGTGTCTATGGCACCTCTACTCTTCACTGGCTCTATTCTGTATTTCCTTCCATGTCACTCCACTATGTTGTTAATTTACTGTGCAAATTTAGGACCTGGCCTTCCAATATTTTCCATGTACTGTATATATTATTTGGTACCTCTCTCATCTCCTTTCTAGAGAGTTCATATTGAGAGCTTTCAGACGATCCCAATAGTTTAAGTGCTTCATCGTGTCTGTGTGCTGTATCAGTTCTCTGTATTCCCTCTATTTCAGCAATCTCTCCTGCTCTGAAGGGAGAAGTATGGAGTAGTACTCAAGGTGGGACAGCACAAGCAATTTGAACAGTATGAACATTGTGATGGGATCCCTGGATGCTTAGTGATTATATCGCCTCTTTTTCTTCTATGTTGTAGCTTTGGTCTTGCTTTTCCCTTCTTCGCAAGCTGTCTCTGTAGTAAGGCATCACATTGTCATTGAAAAGATTAAGACAACGGCCTACTACAGCTTTCTCTGGGCGAGTCTGTTCAATAGTTGTTTGAATCTCTTCCCACATCTGACACACCTTCTTAATTACTGCAGAAGGGACATTCGCTGGTGCTGTTGGTGCTGCTGCCACCTCCTCCTCCACTGCAGAATCATTCGCTGCTGTGTTGGCTTGCTGTTCCTGTTGAAGGGCTAGGAGTTCTTCGGTGGTCAGTTCTTCGTTGTGTTCTTCCACCAACTCCTCCACATCATCACCATCCAATTCCAAGCCCATTTGCTGGCCTAGACTAACAATTTCCTCAACAATAGGCGCATCATTTATAGGCTCAAACCCCTCAAAGTCTAGTTCTCTCACACCTTCAGGCCACAATTTTCTCCAGCCAGAGATCAGGGTTCTTTGAGTCACTTCTTGCCAGGCTTTGTCAACGAGTTTTAAAGCACTACAAATGTTAAAATGCTCTCTCCAGAACTCTTTGAGGGTGAGGTTTGTGGCTTCAGTCACTTCAAAACATTTCCGGAAAAGTGCCCTTTCATACAGTTTCTTAAAATTCGCTATGATTTTCTGGTCCATAGGCTGAATTAGAGGAGTGGTGTTAGGAGGAAGGAATTTAACTGTGAGGAATTTATTGTATTTAGGCAACAAATCATCTTCCAAGCCTGGAGGATGAGCAGGAGCATTGTCAAGGAGAAGCACGGCTTTGAGTGGCAATTGTTTCTCCTGCAGATATTTTTCTATGGCAGGGCACAGCACTTCATTCACCCACTCCGAAAAAATAAGCCTAGTCACCCATGCTTTTTATTAGACTTCCACATCACACACAAATGGGTTTTCTGCACATTATACTGTTTGAAAACCCTTGGATTTTCAGAATGATACACTAGTAAGGGTTTAATTTTCAAATCGCCACTCGCATTTCCACACAGCACAAGCGTAAACATATTTATCACCATGAACCTTTCCTCATAGCTCTCGTTTTTCAATTCCGAGAGCCATTTACTGTAGTTACACGTCTTTGCACATTTTTCCAGTTTATTGATGCGCTTCTTACAATATTGGCATCATACAACTGCTGCATATTCTAACTTTGGTCTCACAAAGGCTGTGAACAATTTCATTATTTTGCATCCATGTACAGTACTTAAAATCAATTCTAAAGTGTGAAAGCATAGCATACGCTACTTGTACAATGTGTTTTTTGCGGTCCTCAGGTGGCAGTTTTCTTTCCAGAACCCCCCTTCAGAATTCTTTCAAACATTTTCCATTAATTTGTAGGTTGTGTGGTCCATTTTCTTCTATTCAACATTCCACAGTAGCATTTATTCACAAAATTCCATTTAAGTGTTGTTCTATATACTTAATTTGTCTAGGTTGTCTTTTAGATATGACAATCATATAAGCTTATCTTCCCTAGAAGTTTGGCATCATCAGGAAACATGTTCGTATAATTGTGTATTCCTTCTGGTAGATTGTGTACAGTACTGTATATGGTCAATGAACATTACTGGTGCTACAACTGAGCCTTGTGGTACTCTGCATCTGTGAGGTGGACCAGGTTCTTGCTCTGGTTCCCAGTACTATTTTGTACATACCTGGATTGTACCTGAATGAGGTTCTGGGAGTTCTTATACTTGAAAAGCCTGGCTTGACATTCTGTGAGCTTGGTCCAACAGGCTGTTACTTGGAGCGGCCACAGGCCCATATATCCACTACAGCCTGGTTTGTTCGTTTCATAGCATGTCCCATAGTACCTGTCCCATTGCCATGGACAGCAAAATAGTCTGTTTGCTCAAATTTGAAGGATAATTGTAATTTTTCATTCCCACTTCAGGTGTACTTGCCTAGTTGTGTTTATAGAGGTTGAGCTTTGGTTCTTTGGTCCTGCCTCTATTCTTTTACAGATATTTTTAATACAGGTCTCTTATGGCTGATGTGACTCAGTAGGGAAAAGCCATCTCAATGCAATAGCTTCAAGGAGCCACCGAAGCCCCTACCAGAAAGAAGCATTTCATTATAATCAATACTGGTTTTTCCACATATGCATGTTTATTTAATCATAGCTACAGGGGCTATATATAGTTAAGTGATAAAATGCCAGTGTGTACTCCTTAGTCAATATAATGGAAATATTTGGAGTGCCATATAATTTGGAAATACAGTAGTAATTGAGATATTGTATTACAAATTAACTTTTGGGATTTTTGTCAATAATATGCTTGCTGTCATATTATAGGGTAAATGTTACTAATCTGTATTTACATTTTCAGCTACCTTGGATATTCCAGTATACAAGAGCAGAATCCAATCTTTACATGTACTGTTCACACTTTACTCGGTTTTCAAAAATTCTGCACACTTCCGACAGTTGGCTGAAGAAAATTATATGGAAAATGATGAGTCGGCAGCTGATCGTTTGGTTATCCAGTAGAATTGTTTGAAGAGCCATCTGTACTGAAGATCTGTATATCCAGCAGAATTATTGATACTACAGTATCCACTCAATTTAACGGCCTATATGGGGCTGTACCCTGGTCGTTATTTCCGGAGTTCTGGTATTTCCGAAGTTAAGATGTCGGTAATTTTTCAAGTAACATTCAGGTAGTTGTCTCCACTCGACTATCCGGACTATATGGGAAGGACCCCCAGCCGGATTATCACATGTTCCGGATAATAGTACTTTTTCACCTCTGAGTTCAAAAGGGACCATTTCCAACAATTTTTATACCACACGCATGATTTGAATTGACACACTAATTAGTGTGTGGGGCTGGTGCATGGGTGGTTAGCTGCCTAGCTGGTGGGTGGGCAGGGAAAGTGGGTGGGCAGGGAAAGTGGGTGGGCAGGCAGGTGGGTGGGTGGGCAGGCAAGTGGGTGGGTGGGCAGGCAGGGATAGGTGGGTTTTGGATGAGTGGATGGCAGGTAGATGGGCTTGTGGGTGAACAGGTTCGAGCAGGCAGGTGGGTGAGTGGGTAAGCAGGCAGGTGGGTGAATAGGTGGGTGGGTGCATTGACAGGTGGGTAAGTGGGCATGCAGGCATGTGGGTAAACAGGTGGGTGGGCAGGGAAGTGGGTGAACAGGTGGGTTAAGCAGGCAGGTGGGTGTGCAGGTAGGTGGGTGAACAGGTGGGTGGATGGATTGACAGGTGGGTAAGTGGGCGTGCAGGCAGGTGGGTGGGCAGGGAAGTGGGTAAATAGGTGGGTGGGTGAACAGGTGGGTAAATGGGTGTGCAGCCAAGTGGGTAAACAGGTGGGTGGGCAGGGAAGTGGGTAAACAGGTGGGTGGGCAGGGAAGTGGGTGAACAGGTGGGTGGGCAGGGAAGTGGGTGAACAGGTGGGTGGGCAGGGAAGTGGGTGAACAGGTGGGTGGGCAGGGAAGTGGGTGAACAGGTGGGTGGGCAGGGAAATGGGTGAACAGGTGGGTAAACAGGTGGGTGGATGGATTGGCAGGTGGGTGGGCAGGGAAGTGGGTGAACAAGGTGGGTAAGTGGGCATGCAGACAGGTGGGTAAACAGGTGGGTGGGCAGGGAAGTGGGAGAACAGGTGGGTGGGCAGGGAAGTGGGTGAACAGGTGGGTAAACAGGTGGGTGGGCAGGGAAGTGGGTGAACAGGTGGGTGGGCAGGGAAGTGGGAGAACAGGTGGGTAAACAGGTGGGTGGATGGATTGGCAGGTGGGTGGGCAGGGAAGTGGGTGAACAAGGTGGGTAAGTGGGCATGCAGACAGGTGGGTAAACAGGTGGGTGGGCAGGGAAGTGGGAGAACAGGTGGGTGGGCAGGGAAGTGGGTGAACAGGTGGGTAAACAGGTGGGTGGGCAGGGAAGTGGGTGAACAGGTGGGTGGGCAGGGAAGTGGGAGAACAGGTGGGTGGGCAGGGAAGTGGGTGAACAGGTGGGTAAATAGGTGGGTGGGCAGGGAAGTGGGTGAACAGGTGGGTAAGTGGCGAGACTGGACGACACGTGTGATCTTCTGCCTGGTCAACCCCCCCTCCCCCACCTCACGCCAGCCTTCCCATCTCCCCAAATCATATCAGCACCTTATGTAAAGCCCGTCTGCATCCTCTAAAAGCACTGGCTTTTTCTGGTAAAGGTGTTGGGGTACCTATCTTACGGATGTTATACATAAGCACTGTTCGGTCCCTGATAGACTACGCAGCACCCGTTTTGTCTTACACAGGCCAAGGCAGAATTCAAAAAATAGAGCTGATACAGAACGAGGCTATGAGGATTATTCTTGGATGTCAAAGAAATGCAATGATTGAAATAATGAGAATGGAATTAAATTTACAGAGTGTGTGTGATAGAGTCCGTGACATTAACACTAGAGTAGCTATTCGTTTCATGCGGAGAAAAGGAGGGGATAAGCTGTTTGAGAGCGTTCAGACCTGCTTGAGTGACGTACACACTTCCAGGAAACTGAGGGAGACACGCTACACGAGGGGATTAGCTCATGACCTCAGGGAATACGATGTACTTGACTGCTGTAAACCCTCTCGACAGTGTAATATGTCTGCTCCCTGGAAAGTACAGAAAATAGACGTCGAAATTGTACCCCTCAAGGTGAAAAAGATTCATCATGAACCGGGACAATTATGGTGTTTGTATGGAAGCATGATATCTCGGTTACCAAGAGGCAACAGTTTACATGTATATTGCGACGGGTCGGTGGCGGAGGATGGCAGGGCAGGGTGTGGTGTCCTAATAAGGGAATATACGAAGTTTGGGACTGTGGACAGGATAATTGAACTCCGGCTTAGTAATTATATATCATCCACACAAGCTGAACTGCAGGCCATTCTGGCGTGTTTGGAGGAAGTACGTCATGACGACAAAAATGTTTTTGTATTTGTCGATAGCCGAGGAGCACTAGAGTCCTTAAACAGTCGAAACCCAGTCTTCTGTCTATAGTTGAGGATTGTAAGAGAAGAATAACTGAGATACAGCTGAAAGGTCATAGTGTGAAATTCATGTGGATTCCATCTCATGTTGGAATAGTGCTCAACGAGGTGGCGGATGAGTTGGCCAAACGTGCCACATCAAAACCACAAATTGACATTGAATGTGAATTCACAATGAGACAAATAAGAAGCAAAATCAGAAATATTCAGGCACAGGCAGGAGTGGAGAGGAGAGGGATAATGTATGAGAGAAGTCTAACCATGCAACACTACATGTATGTGAGTCAAAACACCCATTTCACTTATGGTAAAAGGAGAAATGCTTGGAGTGACTCTGTGTACATGCGGCTCAGGCTTGGGTACAAATATTACTGGGAATATGGGATAGGTGTTCATGATAATGACACGAAGTGTAAACTATGTGGTATGTTAAGGTCTCACACCCTTGCCCATTATGTTCTTGATTGTCCGTTGATAGAAACACTGAGATAAGGACTGTTCCTGAGCAAATAGCCTGGATGTGTCACAAAGGAAAGGTTGATGATATTCTTGAGAGATATAAGAATTTTGCACCAAGACTGTAATATTTTGTTGAATTATCCGTATAACTAGATCATAAAAGTATTTGTGTACGTCTGATACCATACTACTTGTGAAGGAGGAAATGTACATGTTTATCTCTCAGAATGTTTGGTAACAGGTTTATTGTTTGTGATGTGTGTCTATGTATGTACTAACACGTTGTACTGAACGGGGTGAGAATAGCTTGAGCTACCTCATCCCTTTGTGTGTATTTTACCTCAATAAACTTATTTCAATTTCAATTTCAATTTCCCTCCACATGTGTCGACAGACACGTGGGTGTTGACACGCTGTACGATGCGCCGTAAGTTCTGTTAAATCCCATTTTATTTTATTGTAAATATTTAAATGAATAAATAGCAAACCAAATACTGTACTATACTGTTCATCTATTATAGTGTTATTTAATTAATATTCGTAACTAACTCTCCACAGCAATAAGAAAACAATATAATTCTTGCAACACCGCCAACGCCACCTTCGTTAGGCTTAAGCGAGTCCCATACACACCACAATAGTTTTTCCTGGTCCATAGAATTACCCAAATCAGCCCAAATCGGCCCAAAACTACACAAATCGTCCTAGCATTACGTAAGTAATGAAGAAATATGGTATATTTACTTACTATAATGTTGGTGCTACACGTAGAACATGATCAAACCTATTTTTACTCTGAAATAATCTAATTTCATAACGAAATGAAACGTAAATATGCGAGAGGTGAAGCCATAGGAAGTCGACGGGCCAAGCGACAATTGTGTGGAGTGACTTATCCAAGGTATATGGTCGCCTGGAGAGTGTTTGCTGCCATATCAGCTTCCTGTACACAGTGATCCAGTCCTTTTCGTTCATTGAACACCGAACCCTACACGCCCTCTGATATATTGCTTAATTAACAAATATTCACAAATAAAGATTATATTTGTATATATTATCAGAAAGGCAGATATAAAATAGTTTTTGTGAATCCATCACAGAGATTATACCTTATTAGAGAGGAAAAATATTCATACTTTAAACAAGGCTTCATGGCCGACGCTCTCCTTAACGATATGGGAACTATGACCTTCCGAAGATCAATGTTAATTTAATCTAGATATTGTAATAAACGAAGTTTTCTATGTCATCATAAAGACATAAATATAAGCTGCATGTTAATACTTTGGCATAAATATAACTGAAGTGAAAGTGAAGATATATGCCTTTTTATAGTTACTTGATGGCTCGCTCAGGGAGTGTGAAGGCCTCCGCACAAGCCAATCAATTTTATAATTACTTTGCATATATGCAAAGTAACGCCATAGGTCTTTATGTCAGAATAAAGACATGTAGACAATAATGTAACTACATTTCAAGGAAAACATATCTTAATATAATTATTAAATGAATGCAAAGTTATGGTTAAATAAATAGCCAATACCACACAATCGCCGGTGTCCGGACACATGAATAGTCGCATTAGGTGAAAGGAAATGTACCCAACCATTTCCATTTACCCAACCAGTTTGTGCACCCTATACTCATCCTCTGTGCGGTAATTTATTGTGCACCCCATACTCATCTTGTTACCAGTAGTTTGTGCAACCCATACTCATCCTGTGACCCGTAATTTATTGTGCATCCCATACTCATCCTGTTACCGGTAGTGTGTGCAGCCCATACCCATCCTGTGACCTGTAATTTATTGTGCAACCCATACTTATCCTGTGACCTGTAGTTTATTGTGCAGCTAATACTCATCCTGTGAGTCATTGGACATTGCGCAACCCTTTCTCATCGTGTGAATCTTTGTTTACTTTGCTCTCCATATTCATCCTCTGCGCGATAGTTTCTTGTGCAACCCATACCCATGATGTGAGTGGTAGCTTATTGTGTACCCTATACTCATCCTGTGAGTATAGGGTACACAATTCTTGTTTGGATTCTTGTAATGTTATTTGTCTATTTGTAGTCACAGTATTTGTGCGCCCCTTGAGGGACTTGAATTCTTGAATGGGACTTTAAGCAGTCTCCGTGGTGTAGTGGTAAGACACTCGCCTGGCGTTCCGCGAGCGCTATGTCCTGGGTTCGTATCCTGGCCGGGGAGGATTTACTGGGCGCAATTCCTTAACTGTAGCCTCTGTTTAACGCAACAGTA